TTATACATAATAGGAACAACATAAATAAACATAAATAAAGTCAATTATAATAATTACAACAGTAAATAAAACAAGGTTATTATAATACTATAAAATAACTAAACAATTAATTATATATGAATAATCAAAGGTCTAAAATTGCATAACCCTATAGCACAAGTCGCACTCGACTAATTTAGTTTATCAAATATCTCTATGCATTTGATAGGAGAATTGTGCAATTACTATTGTAATTAACTAGATTTATTAATTATGCCATAATTATGATCATTTGATACTTAAAATTATATTTAACCAATATTATGAATAGATACGATCAATTTGAACTAATATTTTTATTAAAAGCAATGCTAATATTATTAATATTCTTCCAAGAAATCTCTCATATTAAATAACTTGTTATGAAATAATAAATGTTCATATTATTTTCATATTCTCACTACTCATAATTCTTAATGTGATTTAATTCACCATTTAATATGAAAAATTAAAAAGATGGTGAAATTGATTCAATCATTCACACACATTTTAATTGTTCATAGTTCTTTTAAATTCTCTTTTTAACTTTAAAGTCTATAAATAGGCTTATTTATTCATTTATTTGTGTGAAAATATTTTTATAAAGATTTAAAAAATTGTTTACGATTGCTTATAACTTATATTCACTTTATTTTATAGGGAAATTAATTTTCTATTATTGTTGGCACTTCAAAATTAAAGGTCATATATCGATCAAGTATGACGTCTTCTTATGACAAAATAGTATAGCATAAGTGGAACAATGCGTTTGGTCTCATAAACCAATCAAGTTTCGACGAAGCCTTGAGTCTTTAATAAAATGATTTGTTTGGTCTTATAACCAATCAAGTTTCAATGAAGCCTTAAAACTTTAATGAAATGATGTGTTTGGTATTGACATTAACCAGGTTTTGATAGAGCCTTAAGTCCTTAGTGAAATAGTGCATTTGGTAATATAACCACCTGCATTTTAATGAAATCATAAGATTTAAATAAAACGATGTCTTTGGTATGACAATCAGTTAGTTTTGACGAAGATAATATGCATGAAGAAAATAAAGGGATAGTTACCAAATAACTATACATGCTTAAAATTAAATAAAAGGCGAGTTGTCAATCAAGACCTATTTAAGGAAAAAGGACCAATAGAATTGCACATGATCAACAACACAAGATTTCTTATACAAACTTATTCAATTTTCTTAGTTGACCTTGAATAGTTAGTTCTTACTTTCTTGTAAGTAAAGGGATAGTCTTTTACTACTTTTGATAATTTTATTTTGTAACCTAGAAAACGTTGATCTATGAGAATGGTATCGAATATCTAGATAGCTAATGATGTAAGTGCCATATTTTCTTATTATTTTTAATAAATTTTGTCTCTTCTAATTGATAAAATTCTTTCCATTTTATTACTCTTTCTTTAAACTAAGTACCTATAGAAAGTTTTAGTGGCTTGCTAAATGAAATCGAACACTATAATATTTCATCACGAAGGACTTAATAAAAAATTATGTGTCAATATAATCGGTTTTAAGATTAAATTTAACGAGCGAGCAGCAAGTTATGGCGACCATAGTAAGAGAGAAATGTCAAAACGTGGTACTATAAGAAGTATGACGAGATGTCAACTCTCCGAAGAGGACCAAATTGACGAAATCCTTTTGGTTTTTGTTAAAGGAATGATCCAAATTTTTGAAAATGAACCTATAATGAAAGCTATGCAAAATTACAATCGTAAGGAAACCAAGGTTAATAACAATGCAGTAACCTAAAAATGTAATTGATAAAGGACAATCTAACAACTAAAATAGATTGGGTGTTAGAAATCATGAACACGTGGATTCATATAGAAGTGATGGTTTTACAAACCGAAACCATAATGTCAAGAAACAAGTACTCGAAGAACGAATGGTTGAATTTCAATAAATACCGGCAAATCGGACTAAAGAATTTTTAAAGAGGATATATGATCAATCTTTGAAGATAGGCAATTAGATAAATCGACACATACGAGTTAGCATCGAATCAGCTTGAAGAGGATATCAAAAAGATAAAGGCTTCCATAACTAAATCATAAAAAAAAAACAATGAAAACATTATTAACCATAACATTAAATTAATAGATTGTACATGTTATCATAGTGATAGAGTGATTATAGATGTAAATCATCTATTTAATGAACTCTTGTTCCATTGGTTAAACAAGCAATCAAGGAAGTAGAGATTGCTATTGAATCGAGATTTAAGACGTACTGTAAGCGTCACTCAACGAGATGAAGAAAGATGTAAGACAATTTGTAATTTTAGTAGAAGGAAAAAGGAAGGAACCAATCGAAGAAAGGAATTTTAACATTAATAGGAAATATCATGAACAATTAGGTTGATTGAATTTCCTTTAGGATATCCACCTTCGCTCCTAATAGGTCATTTGATAATAAAAATGGTCATAACATGCCATAAAACACTTATAAACGTGTTTACTATAGCCAAACTAATGGTTATTTATCCTGGGCATCGCTTGTAAATATATCAATATAACCGACACCTCTATATTATGGTCCTTCTTCAAACTTATCTCTAAGGGTAATAATAAATTTTTCACCATAGAATGCGCCAACTATGGCAATAGCAGGAGAAAATGGTGCGACATCATAGCTCTACCCTTAAAAATGCACCCGAAGAGTTGAATCAAGAAGTTTTGGCTAACATATGGATCGCAAATGCAAAAAATCAATCATTTTGTTTATTGAAAGTAGATTTTGTCGATAGAGAATATCCATTCCCTAGAGTATTTCAATCTCCTAAATTCACTCTATTTTCCGGTGAAGATAATGTTTACGCCTTAGAACACGTTACCGTATTCGCTTTTTACTAGGAAGAACTATCAAAAGATGATTTCTTGAAGCTGCGACTCTTCCTTAGTTCTTTAATTATCTGCAGCATTCACTTGGTACATCAATCTATTACCAAGTTCCATCTTCACTCTAGTGGGATATGTAGAATGCATTCCAAGTTTAGTTTTCAAGAACGGACCTTAGAATTTTAATAGCAGATCTAGCGAGGGTAAAACAGTTCGGGGTGAATCGCAGAGTAGTTTCTTTCAAGGTTCGGAAGAGCCGGAGTTTGATGTTAGGTTCATATACTTGAAAGTGAGTTTTTACACTTTGCATAAGATGGTTTGGATTTTGAATTTAGAAATAAATGCGAGGATATGGTGTTTCGGGATCTTTACGAACTAACGAAAAAAGATGTCAAGGTTCGAAACAATTATGTACGAAGAATCGTTGCGAAAAAATACCATAATGAGAAAATATTATCAAGATTCCATAATGGTCGAGTGGATTTTACATAGTATATTAAGGGAAAGCTAATAGTTTGTAAGTAGTTAGCTCAAAAAAACATACGAGCTCCTATAAGTTTTAAGTCAAAAGAAAATCGAAAATATTAGTTCAATCATGATAAAATGGATTTGATCTTTAATTGACTTTTAGACAATAATAAAATCAAACTTAAAGGGAAACATAAACTACTAACTTCAAAAGAATTAAAAAAAAAAGGGAAATTTTGCAAATGACACGGTGTTACATGCCATTCAACTAATAATTACATCTTATTTAGGAATTTAATTCAAGACTTAATAAAGTTAATAAATTAACTTTTCCCGATAAGGAAGTTATGGAAGTTTACAGTAATCTTTTCCCTAAAATGGTCAAAATTTTTACTATTGATGAGTTTGACTTTTCCGATTTGCAATAATAACTTGTTATATCAAAAGCCACCAAGGTGGCCAACCAAGTTTTCAACCATTTGGTCGATAGAGGAGTCCTTCGATTTCTTTGTTTTAATGACCCAAAACTCAACCACCACTCGTAAGTGATGCATCACTACTACTCTATATATAACGGATAAATGCTTCAACTTTATGAACTATTTAAATGGTCATCGAGACTATAACTAATATGACTTCACCCATGAAAAAGAAGTAGCTTTATTCTAACCCCACTCGGGCCGAAACATATGTTGACAAGGTCAAGAAATAGTTGAAAGATCTTAAGTTCAACTTCAAGACATGTAATTTGGCCCATAAACGAGGTCAAGATTGGTTGAATTACTAAAAAATGTTGATTAAGGACCATTGTCAAAAAATGGTGATTAAGGAGCACCGAATGAAGGGATTATCCTCTCAAGTGACTTTAAATAAAAGGCCATAACATAGACGAAGTTGGAGTTCAAAAGGATCGGACAAAAAGGTCCGACTCAACACAAGTTACGTAGTAGTTGTGCGAGAAAAAATGAGAGAAATGATAGCTACTCATCGGGAAACCTAGAACCTAATGATTTTGACTAGGGCTCAAGTCAAAAGGATTAGAATGATGCTTATAGGGAGTACTTTTTCTAAGAAGTATAAATATGTTTCTCTTGCTCGAGAGTATTTAAAAATCAAGGAGTCATCCCTATTGAAGGTCCGATGATCGAAGAAAACTAATAGAAGAGAGACAGTTTGATGAAACCAACGGACCTCTAAGGTTTATAAAGCCAAAGAAATCCAAAGTTAGAGTGTGGAAGAAAGTTTGATTTTCTCTCCCAAGATAGCAAAAACATGGCAGATCCTCTAAATAAACTAAATTTGATAATCTTTCAAGACAACTAAAACATGGCAATCCTTCAAGGCGACCAAAATATGACAATCTTTCAAGACAGTCAAGATATGATAATTTCTCAAGATAGCCAAAATATGGCAGTTCCCTACGACATTCGAGCTCGATAGCCCTCAATCCATGTTTGGCACTCAAAAGAAGAGGTGGTTAAGGAAAATGGCATAGATAAAAAAATGTCAAAATATCCCAAGATAAGAATATTGGAATGAAAATCAAGATATTGCAAAGAGGCTAACTTAAGCCAATGATCACTTCGATTGAAACCTCGGTTTCCAAGGAAGGGAAAGAGGAGTCTTGAATATCAAACCACCCCTTTACATCATGGAACGAGAAGGAAGAGGAGGCTCTTTAATTCGTGGTTCGATTGAACCAATAGGTATAAAGCCACCGATTGTTAAGTAACCGAGTTAGTAAATGATTAAGCGACCATTTAAGAAATGAAACGATGTGATGTCTTATCATGTCCATCAATATTTAATGTTCTACCTATTAAAGGAAAAAAATTTTCTTTCATCTCTAAAAGGTCTAAAAGGGAGCATGTGTTGGCACTTCAAAATTCAAGATCATACATGATCACGTATGGTGCCTTCTTATAACAAAACAATATAGCATAAGTGGAACGGTGCATTTGGTCTATAAACTAATCGAGTTTCGACGAAGCCTAAAGTCTTTAATAAAACAATATGTTTCATCTTATAACCAACAAATTTTTGACGAAGCCTTAAAACTTTAATGAAATGATGCGTTTAGTCCCGACACCAATCAAGTTTCAATGAAGCCTCATGTCTTTAATGAAACGAGTGTGTTTGGTCCGATCACCAATCGAGTTTCGATAGAGCCTTAAGTCCTAAGTGAAATGGTGTGTTTGGTAATATAACCAGCTAGGTTTCAACAAAATCATAAAATTTAAATAAGACGATATGTTTGGTCCCGCAATCACTCGGCTTTGACGAAGACAATATGCATAAAGAAAACAAATGGATAGTTACCAAATAACTCGTTCAATCTTAAATTTAAATAAAAGGCGAGTTGTCAATTAAGAGTTGTTTGAGGAAGAAGGACCAACGTAATCGTACACGATCAATAACACAAGATTTCTCATACAAGTTTGTTCAATTTTCTTAGTTTATCATTTAATAGTTAGTTTATCATTTAACGAGTTAGTTCCTATTTTTTTGCAAGTAGTGCGATAGTCTATTACTACTCTCGGTAATCTTATCGTTGTAACTTAGGAAGTGTTGATTTGTCGAATGGCATCGAACATCTTGATAACTAAAGATGTAAGTGTCATATATTTTCGATTTATGATATTTACATTCTTTTTTAATGAATTTTGTCTCTTCCGATTGATAAAATTCTTTCCACTTTATTACTTTTTTTAAAAAAATAATTACCTATGGAAAATTCTAGTGGCTTATTAGGCGAAACCGAATCCCATAACATTTCATCGCGAATAACTTAATCACCAATTAAAGCGTCGATATACACTACTTTAAGATTAAATTTGACAAGCGACAACAATCATCTTTTCTTCCTATTCTTTTACTATTATCATAACAATTTTTTACCATTATCATTGTTTTTTCAACACAAATAAATCTACTAGTAAATTCTATAAATCCAATGGTTTAATTTTTTTTGTATAATTAAACTTGGAAAATAACTTTCAATGAGATTGGCATTTTTTTTTATTAATGCTAAAGTAGTTTTTCTTAAGTCTATTCTGTATGTTAAAAAAAAAAAAACTCTAATTTGATCACACAACCAACCGTAAAGAATTTTACTTTTCACATTCACACGTGTCTAAAAAGACATCAATATATCTATATTGAGATCGAAATTTAGAATACATTTGCACATGTATCAACCGAACGTGTATATATCATCTCAAAAGAAGGCTATCTACATATAAACATTCTAAAAGTCTTCCCATACTCTATTTTTAAGAAAAAAACGAACATGAATCTGCTTTTATTTATTTTATTTCTCATTATTCTTATTTACACAAAGGCACATAGTAGATCATTACTGATTGTTGTAATTTTTTATTACATGGTATCTCGTGTATGTAAATGAAATAATCATCCTTTCTGCATTATATTCTATTTTTTAAAAGTACATTTTATTTGCAAGTTTTTGTTTGTTGTTAGTAGGTTTTATGTTTATATTAATTTTTTTTGTACCATTTTTCATGCAAATTTGATTTTCACGAGCAACCATTTTATATTGATACTAGAAATAAAAAGTAAAGACAGATGAAAAGACTTCGAAGATAAAAATTGTTGGCACATTAATGTGTCTCTGACAATTTACACAAGTTACCTGAAAGAGTAATACTGGAGGACATCATGTCATTGAGGTTATAAATACATTCATTTTTAATTGAATATATAGAATTATTTTTTTTAATATGACTATCGATTAAGTATTTTTATATTTATCTATTAACTAATAACGTATCCATTAATTCTAAAATATCAAATTGTAATTTTATTTTTTTCAATTGACTACATGAATTTTAAGTTTTTTTAAATACATAATTTTTTAAAAAAATATAAATAAAATATTTTCATTAATTTTTTTTTAATTGATGATGTATTAGTTAGTTTAAAATATCAAATTATAATTTATCTTTTTTTTTTTAGAGAAAAATTCCTCCTCAAATTCTAACAAACAATAAATTTTCTTAATAAATATTTTCATGTTTGATTTTTTCTTTAGTTTTCATACCTAATCCTAATTGAGTTTTTTATTTTCAACAACAAACCTAATCGAGTCTAATTCAAGGTTTTTATAACTAAAAAGAAATATTTTTAATTTTTTTATCAAAAATTGAAATTGTGGATTAATTTGGAAAAAAATTCATAAAAAAACATGATTAGTAATTTGATGATAACAAACACTTCATTAGTTGATGAAGAAATTAATAAAAATATTTGATTGATAATTTTAAAAAATAAAAATACTTAAATAAAAAATTAAAATCAATATACGCCAGTGAGAAAAAGAAGTAAAAAATTATAATTTGGTACTGTTGAGGTAATGAATATATCATCCGTTAAAGAAAAAATTAACAAAAATACTGAATTGGCAATTTAAAAAAAGCCTCATGTTACATAAAGTCCACGTGTCAATTAAATAACGGTAGCGGTATTGACATAACGGGATGATAAAGTGAGAGCACTGTAAAATTTGCGAAAACGGAAAAGAAGGTCTGGCCCACTAATAGTAAAACAATCTAAAGGTGAGTAAGTAAATACAATAAAATGGTATCAACTTGATCAATAATAAAAAGGGTTGTTCGACAAGTTGATTGCCACTGTACATTGCACGAGATTACAAAACAAGAGGTCACCTCAGACTCAAGCTCAAGGTGACCCAACAAAGCAATTTCCTTCCTCGAAATCGAACTTTCTTTTCCCACGTTAACCTCTCCTCTCTCTAAATCTTTAACTGCTGTAGTTACTAGCAGCTTCAGCTTCTTGTATAGCAGTTATTGGGCAGAGAACCCAGCACAGCACGTACCATGTATCAACAACCTTCGTCATCATCCTCGTCACCACAAAAACCCAATCTCTCAAGTGGGCTAACAAGATATGGTTCGGCCCCAGGTTCTTTCTTAACCAGAGCCGTTGATTCAGTCATCGGGGCTGACCGGGAACTCTCTGGTCCTGGATCAACTTCCCTTGTGGGCAGTCAACAATACTTCTCTGGCGACTCGCCCTCTATCACCTCAGAGTCGACTTGCAAAGTCAACTCATCCAGCTGCGATCCAAAAGCACCCAAAAGTGGTGGTGGTGGGTTGCAGAGGTCGTACGGCTTGAATGAGATAGCACATGGTGCTGGATCTCTGGTGCGGCAGAGGAGTTCGCCTGCTGGATTTCTAAGCCATCTTGCCACTGAAAATGGTAAATATCTATACACACACACATATTTTTTTTTCTTTTAAATATGTAGATAAATATTATTAATCTTTTTCTTGTTTGGATTAATTAGCTGGACATGACTAAATGGATTCTTGATTTTGGGATGTATTGTTTTGGGTTCTTTCTTTTTCTTGACAACCTTGTAAAATACAGGGATGGAAAGTGATAGGAATGTTTGGTTTTGGTGGATAGACACTTTCAATAAGTTGCAATGACCTTTGTGTCCTTCCCACTCACTTGCCTGATGAGTTTGTTTACCCGGTCAAATAATGCAATTGTTCATTTCATAGCATATGTTATTCTTAAAAAAAATAAAACTGTACTTGGCTTTGGTTTTTACTTTTATTATCTTATTCTAAAGCTAGTCAGACCGATGTGTGTATTTTTAAAATTATTTAAAAAAAAAAACAATAATATTGATTAGTAATTAAGTATCTATATCAAAAAAAAAAAAAAAATGATGCAATCTCAAGTTTTATGAAAAACCAACTCCATTTTTGACTTTAAATTAGTCTAATATTAAAAGAAAAGTTACTTATATATATATATATATATATATATATATAAGGATTAGACCCAGGAGTCTGTACTCCTGTAACTAATTGATATTACACATCACTATATTTTTCTTTTAATAATTATATTTTAGTTCTTTTTTCTTTTTTTATATATTGTTTTATATTTTTAAACTTAGTATAACGATATTTAGAAAAGAAAAACATTTTAGAGGTTTACTGTGATAAAGTCTTGCATATAATACATTTCATGTATTTATTATGAGAAATTAAAAAAAATAACATGAATTTTTTTAAAAAAAATTGATCCGTGTATGCTTCAAATTATTTTAATGGAAGCATCATATTCTTTAAATTAAATTTCTTTATTAGAGTATTATGTATGATATGTATTACGCTTCAAGATCAAACACACTACATTACTTCACAAATAACAACATTATAATAGAATAATGAAAACAGAATAAAAAATAATTAACACAAAAAAAAAATACAAAATTTTAACGAAAATAACTCAAAAAGGCAGACCGATGTGTGTATTTTTAAAATTATTTAAAATAAATTTAATTTCGGTTAACACATAAGTTGATACGAAAATTTATGTGAAGAGAGCTCTCTTTTTGACTTTAAATTAATTTTTAAACAGTGAGTTGATCATATTTAATTTAATGTTATTTTGTTTCAAATTTTTTTTTATTAATCTTTTTATATTTTTAACTTATTTTTCCTTTTTATATTTATGAGAAAAAATTAAATAGAAAAAAATGATTAAGTTATAAATAAATTTAAAAATAAAAATATGAATTTATTAGTTATTGAAACTATAGAGCTATTTTTTTTAAAAAAAAAAAAACTAGAGGTATTAATTTATGATTTACTCTAGCAATGAGTATAGAGATATAATCACGGCATACTTAGAGTCTTAACCTCTTGTTAATTTAGTTATTCTTCCAATGAGAAGATTCCTCGATTTTGAAGTTATAGGTGTGGTCTATGTAATATTTTAATAAACAATATTGACAGGAGTGATCTTAATTAGTATAATTTTTAGAGTATGATTTACTTAACCTCAAGTGGCCAGTATTTTACCATTATTTCTGGATTTCTTTTTCAGGGTCTGAGTCATCTTTCTTCTTTTTTTTATTAGTGGTCTGGTAAAGAGGCGTTGACGAAAATGTAAACTGCAAATATATCTCAAAAGAGAAAACTACCCTTTAGTTTGATTTGCTGCAGGTCTAGGAATGAATACTGTTATTTACATTAATATTCTCGCAATCACGTGAGTACATTGTAGGCATGGAGAGTTGTAGGGTTTTGTGCCTTTTTGGTAGCTTATGGATGATAAATTATTTCATTGGATTGAGTGGAGGAAAATGGCTTACAATTACTAAGTATAAAATTGGTGGGGAGACTGTGTTTCCTTTTCTTTATTTCTCGTGCATGCACCAAGACATAGGTTTGCTTAATACACCATTGTTGATTCATGTAATTATGAGTAAATTAGTTTCTTTAGTATGCAAAATTAATTGATTTTTTTTTCAAAAACTAATCCATGAGTATTTTTTTTTAGTTTTGATTATACTTAATTTAATATTATTTTGTTTTAAAAACATTTTTTACTTATTTTTTATTTCTGAAAACAAAAAATCAAAATAAATTGAAAAAAACAAAAAAAATAATTTACAAATATATTTAAAATCATAAGGATTAATTAATTAATTTTTAATACTAAAAAACTATTTAATTTATTTTGAAAAACTATAAGAACTAATTTATAATTTGCTCATGTAATTATTTGTGGCTTTGCATGCACCAAGACATAGATAGGTTCATACCCCCTTTGCCAAGCCTTGATATGCACAATTTCTCTCAAAAAGTTCTACAAAATATACATTCCAAGAGTATAATTTATAGCAGGATATTAGCATATAGGTTCCATTAGAAAATATGAGGGTAAACCTCAAATCAGACCCTCAGCTATGACTTGATTTAGAATGTAGTCTCACAAACTATCAATTTTATCAAATGGGTTTCCAAAGTATCTTACATTTTTCAATTGGGTTCTTTATTTAAAATCTTCGATTTTTTCTTTCTTTCTCAAAATGGCGTCATTTTATTGCCTAGTATGCACAATTTAGACAGAGAATTGATGGACATAGATGGGACACTCAATGGTGAAATGTCTAGTACTTTGAAGACCTAATTGTAACAATTGATAGTTTGTGTACCTAGTTGAGAAGTGGTAGATAGTTGGGGACTAACCTGAGGTTTGCACAAAAAAATTGAAGTCGTGTTATTTATTTGGGAGTTGGTAAATAGTTCGGCAACAAACTTGGAAAGCAATAGATGGCGGTAATAAAAGGAATTCATAAGGAAGAAATGGAGTCTGGATTATGAAGGGACAGGGAAGGAACCTCTCAGTCTCACTGTCAAGTGTTTCTTTATAGCATACTAATGATAATGAGGCCAGCATTTGTTGTTACAACTAGGAATTAACAAGATTTTGTTGGGCATGTGTCAGGCTTTGAGGTTGAACATATGATCTCAATTATGGACAAGACCATGTGCTATATATTTCATCTTTATCAAAAAGAAATAAAGAAAAGGACAAAAAATAAAACGTCAAATTTCAACAGCAACTTGTACAGACTGTCCTGGTTGTCAATGACTCAGTTCTGTCTAGAAGACAAAACATTATCAAATATGAGGACTTGGCCGTAAAGATATGGTCTTGGCCATGTTTGAGATTGCCGCTTTCTTTTTTAGGGATCAAACAAGAAAGAAAAAGGAAAATGATAGTTAGTTTTCTGTATGAAACCCTTACCGCTGGATCACAATAGATCTGTTTCCCTTTGGTGCTTTTCCACTGGTTTCATTTGTTCAAAACTAGGACTAGAAAAGAAAATATGGTGTAATGAAATTGAAGTACATATCTAATCAGATATTACATGTGGGTGAGTTGTATATTTTTGGTTTTGAATATCAACCGTCTCCTTTTCCAATCTAAATAGGAGGTTTCTCAATTACAAGGGGAACTGGAGGCTATAACTCTCACAGTGGTTCTGGTGGTGGCCGCTCATTATCAAGGTTGAAGCCTCAATTGAGCTTCACTGGACAAGATTCTCTTTCTCAGATATCTGAAGTTAGTGAGAATGTTGTTGAAGGCATCGGCTCTGACAATGGCCGCCAGAACTCCACTCATTCTTATTCTGCTGCTAGCTTTGGTATGGAATCTTGGGACAATCCAAATTCCATTGTATTTTCTGGGTCGCCCTCGAAACAAGCTAGGACTGGAGATGGAGATATTTATAACTGTTTCAATGCCTTAGAAACTCAGGTACTAATTTTCTTTTCTGAAGAGTTGTATGTCAGGAAATTCATGGAAATGTGGATAATTTATTTTGTTCTCTGGCCTCAACATCCCATAAACACGTGAAAAACACATGCATTAGCAAGTCCATACCACGCTCCTGCATCTTCTGGTAAATTATATACATATGAGCTAGAGTAAATTGCAAATACATACATTTCAGTTAGATTTAAATAGTTGCAAACATCCTACACGAGCATATTTTTATTTTGTTGTGAGCAAATTGCTGCACGCACATGGCATATTTCAGAAGGATACTTGTTTTCTCAGATCATAGTATGGTACTAGTAGCATATTTTACTAAGCTTGCATCAAAGGACTTGCTGACCTTTTTTTTTTTTTCCTTTTTTTCTTTTTTTTCAGAATGAGAAGGAACCTTAGTCTGATATTCGTATGAAAAACCTTATTTCAGCTTCTATTTTTTTTTTTTTTTAAAAAAGGCAATTCTCCTTGGCTGTTGTAAATTATGCTTAACGTTATATTTTCCTGTAATTCTTCTTCGTCTATTTTTCCCTTTCTTCTGGTATTTGTATCTGAGTCATTCTTCCTTCAGTTTAGCCTGCCTCAGACAAGTCTTGAGATGGCAACAGTGGAGAAGTTGCTACATATTCCTGAAGACTCGGTTCCATGCAAAATCCGCGCTAAGCGTGGTTTTGCCACTCATCCTAGAAGCATTGCTGAAAGGGTTAGTAAAGTTTTTTGAACCTTTTTAAAACGGATTTATAGAAGTTGCATGCATACAGATTCCCTGCATTCATTATTTGTAATTTGAGTCCACTTTTCAAAGGGGACCATTGCGTGAATTGAAGTGACTTTTTAATACATTCCTAAACCACATCTTATAGCATACGTTTGTCAGTGACTGTCCAACTTCTGACATGTTCAGCTGCATTCATAACTTGCTTTGACATGTGATTCCCTTGGATTTCATCTATAACAGCATAAACATTCTGGAAACAATACCTTGAGACAGGAGTAAATATTTTCGGATGCATACTAGCAGAATTGCTTACCCTTATTTTTGAAGATATCTGATTAATAGATGATGTATCTTACATAACAGAAACTGCATACATTATTGTTTTACCTGAACAGTGTTTAATGTGCAGTCCATTTATTTGTTAATGTCATATTTGTCCAAAAAGTGGGGTGTTGTTTTGAAACCATGCTCTCTAGCTCTTTTTGGACATGTTCTTGCTCCAATATGCACAAGGGCTTAATATATTTAGAGTTTTCTCAAAGTGAAACCAAGATTGTTCGGGACAATTTTGGGAAAAAATCAACACACCAGATTGCACTGTGTGATGCTGTGTTACAACAAGGAAGAACAAGCACCTAGAAAGTAATGTTAACTTTGCATATTTCTCAAGGTGGTTTTTGGTTATGCACCGGCATGGTTGTTTCATGACTTCAGTATTCTAGGTAGGGGATTTGTAATTTGAGATATGCTGGCACAGTAACATGATTAACTAAGCTTTTCGTTTTAAACCAAAGAGTTAGCTTGGAAGACCATTTTATACCTGTTATACCTCACCTATTAAATGCAGTGTATTAAGAATAAAGGGACTGCTCTACATGCTGCATTCTCCTAGTCTCTCATTGATTGCCATTTTCCTATTCGAGTTTGCCAATACACCCGCTTAGGTTTCACCCAAACAGAAGAGGACAGTTTGTCATTTGATCAAACAGCAGGGACGTGGGTTCACCTTCTTTGCATTCCCTTTAATAAAACCAACATATTGAGAAGATGAACTATGCTTGAAGGATTGTGAAGAGAACATTCTTGGAAGATTCTCCTCAGTGGTTCATTAGAGTTTGTTTATATATATAGTAGCTTGAAAAATTATTTTACCATGAGATTTGCAGTCATTTGCTGATGCAATAGTGAAATTCATAGGCACGAAGTGCGAGTAGCAGATTTGAGTCGTGAGGAGTGACTGATTTATGCAATGTACTGAAGAGGAAGGCCATTTCTAGATTACCCTGCAGCCAGAACCCTACTTCCGTCACAACAGATAATGGCCTTTTTTGGAAGACAGAAGAGGGCTACCAAGGAAACAAAAAATCATATAATCATAAACAACTAGAGGCTGACCTTCAAATTTGTAAGTTTACATGTTTGTTGAAAAGTGCATGTGGGGATGGAATTTCTGTGTCGTACAAGAATCGTGTTTGGATGGTGCCGAAACATCCTATCTAGGAGTTGATGCAATCTGCCGGTACCATAATAAGAAGATGGACGGCTCTGATTTGATGTCTACAAGACAACAATTACTCGAATAATGCCCAAGAGTGAATGGCAGCAACGGGAAAAAAAGTGATGTCATAACAAGAAGCGTGAGTGTGTCTCTGCTTGCACAAGCAAGAGAGAGAGAGGTAGTCATTGTGTCACCTCCTATAATAAGGACTATAAGATCAGCAGAATAACTAGCATATAAATATGTTGTATTAGTCTGATTATGATACATGCAATCACAGCTAAACCATGCAAGAATCTACTTGTGCTGCAGTTCATTCATTTCATAATTGGGTCACACTGCACTACTGTAGATATGGGTACTAACTGATTTCTGTACGTAGAAGTCCGGAGGATTTCCCCCTTTTTTGGGGTAGTTTAAAGAAGGAACAAGGATGTCAATATTTTAGTCCGTTTGGACGTTACTGTTGGTTTGCAAAACGTACTATCAAAACCATGCTTTGCTAGAACACATTTGTGAGGTTGCATCCCCTAGATTGTGTCAGTCCTCTCCTATGGTCTTTGCCCTCCTTCTGATCCAAAAAAAAGCTTTGCTGATCGTAAAATTTGATTGCATGCGTATCTTCATCTATGTGGGGTTTTTAATCATCTTTGTTATTTATCAGGAGAGAAGAACCAGAATAAGTGGGAAACTGAAGAAACTACAAGACCTTGTTCCTAACATGGATAAGGTAATAACGTGGTGTTCTTTTCTTTTCATATCCTGCAATCTGTAATCTGGCTTTGAATGTGGTGTATGTTGATTTTTCTTCACAACTTGCAGCAAACAAGTTATGCAGACATGTTGGACTTCGCAGTACAGCATATCAAAGGCCTTCAAAATGAAGTGGAGGTGAGTAAAACCTTACATCGTGATCAGATACCAATGATAGCTAAAAAAAGAGAAAATCTCCAAGGCAATTGGTTGAATTTATTCTACCCTTTGCTGTCTATCAAATTCGTAGTTGCTATAGGCGTATTACTTATTACCGGTCCTCTCCTAATCTTCACTTGATATTTGCTTGTCCATCTCTCACAGAAACTCCATAAAGATTTGGAACATTGTACTTGTGGATGCAAACAATCAACCCCATGATGCTGGCTAACAAAGGAGGCCTAAAATCGACGGGCCAAATTTTTGCTTCTTGTGTGAAAAAATTTCACTTTACGGTAAGGCAACTGAAAGTTACGTGGTCTATCAGAGTATCAGATTTGGATCCTCTCATGTTTTTTTTAAACTATGACCGGTCGTGTTTTAAATCTAATCATTATTTTTTAGTTCCATAATTTGGATTAGATGAGATAAAAAAAAAATAACGAGTTAATTGTTATTATTTTTATCATCTACGAAATCATGTCAATTTAGTTTGAATTTAATGATTTTGATTTAATGAATATGATGGTCATGTTCTTAAGGAAAACATGAGAGGATCTGAGTTCCAAAACTGAAATGGCCTAAATATTGACCTGACAGAAATTCATGAAACAAGATTTTGATTCAAGGATTTTGAAGGCAAGGACTCAAGCAGGCTGATGTTGGCTTACCAAATTGCAACGTTAAGGAATCGAACTCTAAGCTGTATATAGTGAAGAATACTGTTGACTTGTACTTCATCAGAAATGATATATGTAAAATGCTGTTCAATTTCCCCCTTTTGTTTTCCCTGTTATTCGAGGATTCAGAGAATACTTGAACTTGGTCATTCTAACATCTACAGTCCAACCCTTGTGTCCTTAGCCGTGGAACTAAGTTTACAAATTTCCTTTTTTTATGGTCTTCATTAATTTTGTACCTTGTGTAGCCTGCTTTGTTCTTAAATATTTTGGCAGGCATTAGCCATTGCCCATTGATTTTTAATTCTTTCATTTTGAGGCTTTCGACATTTGGTCTTCTTTTTTTTTTTTTTTGGGTTAAAAGAAGTAAATTTTAAACCGTAGGTAAATAAACATCAATTTGTAGGTCAAGTCTTGAATTTAATCTTTGTAATTAATATTTTTAAAAATTTATTTTTAGAATATCTAAAATCATCTGTTAAAAAGTGTTTTTTAACTATGCACAATAAGATATTAGTATTGTGTAAAAAAAAAAAAAGTGTATACTTTACAAACCGTCGTTCCAAAAATGTGTCATGATCATGGACAATTATGCCAAAACTCAAAACAACATTTCAAAGTCTACCCAATGAGCCCCATAGGCCCATAATCATAAAATCAAAATAGCAGCATTTGTAGTTTTAAATTTTTTTGAAAATAGCCTTTAGAAAACAGAAAATAAAGAATGATAACAGAATATTAATGATTGGGACATTAAAGAAAAAAGATAAAACTTGGTGTGCAATAAAATTTTTGAAAACAATTGTTTTTTTGTTCTCCAAAAGTAAGTGTATTTTAGACTAATTTGTATATAATTAAGATTAAGTTTTGGTCTAATACAATTTTAAAAATGCACTTCTCACGTTGATTTGATGCATTAAAAAAATAAATTTTCATTGATGCAGATCTTAAAATTTAAATTAGAAAAAAAAAAAAAGAAACATAAGATTTTTTTTAAAAAAAGAGCAATAAGAATCGCTCTCCGAAGAGCAGAAAGTACGAGGTATATATTATTGTCTCATTTGTCATTTTGAAAAAACTTAATAGATTAAATAGAATTGAAATTTGAATTATTATTAACTTCAATTTCTCCTATCATACATGAATAATTAAAAAGAAAAATGAAAAGAAACTCTCCCTATTTCGTAGTTCAAATCTTTTAAACCTCAAAGTAAAATAATTTAGTTGGAAGTTGAATAGCTGATATCATTAAATATTTGATTTGATTTATTACAAAGAAACATGAAATAAACAAAAAGGTACCTCAAAAATATAAATAAATGTGATGATGAGTCCACTACATGCGCAGTATGTCTGTGCCAGCTTAGCTTAGACTAAAAACACGCATTCATACCCCTCCATCTCCACCAGTCTCTCTGTCAAACCACACAGCCATCTCCAGAAACGGCAAACATGTCATCAGACGAGGAAGGAGGAGAGGAGTACCTGTTCAAGATCGTGATAATTGGGGATTCGGCGGTAGGAAAATCAAATCTGCTTTCTCGATATGCAAGAAATGAGTTTAATTTACATTCAAAAGCGACAATAGGAGTGGAGTTTCAGACCCAGAGCATGGAAATCGATGGCAAAGAAGTTAAGGCTCAGATTTGGGACACTGCTGGTCAAGAGAGGTTCAGGGCTGTCACTTCTGCTTACTATAGAGGTGCTGTCGGTGCTCTCATTGTTTATGATATTAGTCGCCGCACTACTTTTGATAGTATCGGTCGATGGCTTGATGAGCTTAAAAGTAAGTTTTTTTTTTTTTACCTCTTTTGGCTTTTTTCTTTGTTTTGTGAATTTGATGACTGCCCTTTTTGTTTTTGTTGGTTTTGTTTTGGGGTTTTGTTTCGAATATACTTGGTGGTATAAAAAAGGTTGATTTTTTGGTCAGTTGTAGTTAGATCTGAGGTTGGAATGATGGATTTTCAATGAGACTTAAGTATGAAGAAAACTATAAATTGATCTCCTTTAGAAAAGTTACTAAAGATGGTTGTTTTTTTGGTTAGAACTTGTTGCCATATCTTTATATTGTGCATTTTTTTGGTTTTCATGGTTGCATATTTTATGGATGTTATTGGTATCGCTTGAACTTCGTCGGGTTATTATTTTGCTATTGTGTTGCTAAAATTGGAAAATATAGTCCTTGTTACCTAGTGATTTGTAAGTGCAAGATCTCATATTCTGATGATAATAATTTCTTTCTTTCTTTCTTTCTTTCTTTCTTTCTTTCTTTCTTTCCTTTTCTTTTGGAAGGCTGGTTTATAAGTATAAACTAAGACGCTTAAAAATTAAAGCAGCTTAGTACGATTTCCATGTTGAGTCAATATAATTAATGGTTCGGTTCAGTTTAACAGAAATTATGGGTTAGTGAAAGAATCACAATGGGAATTCAATATGAATTTCCATGCCAGTTAGCTTGTATTTTACGGGGATAAAAAATGCTTCATATATATGTAAATCAGCTTCTGATCACATACCTCATTTGTGATTGTATGCATCATGCATTTGTTTTTGTGTTCACATATGGTAATTCACATCTTGCATTAGTAGTGCAATGGGCTGATCTTAGTATATAAAATTGGCCCAACAATCCTAAAATGTTCCATTAGCTTTTTGATGATGGCCCATGATGCTACCCCAAATTCAGGAATTGCATCTAAGTTGGTCCTACTATGTTTGATTTTTTTGTTCAGTTAATCTTATTTCAGGAATTGTTTTGTTCGTGTCTAATGTTGATGAGGAAGGTGAGGTCAACTCCATATTTACTTAGGAATTGAATTATTGTGATCATCGTTTGCTTAAAATTGTATGCTGCAACTTGGCCAGGTTGGGCTTGGGTGCATGTCAACTAAGCCCAGCCTTTAATATTAATTGGGATTGCTCAATTTTCTTTGAGGTTATATTATGGTCCTTATCTTTCTGAGTCCTTGCTTGTAGTTGGATTAGTAATATTTTTGGTGACCAGTGCTGCATGCTTGCAGTTTTATTCTAGTGTCTTGTCCACAATGTCTATTTCTTCAACATACCATAGAGCATATGTATTTGTCATGCAAAGGGAATTTCATGCAAACATTTTAGGATAAACTAACTAACATATCTGAAATGAAATAATTCAAAAATATATGCAGAAACCTGTAAAACGGAATATATAGATAATGCACCAACATATCGAAAAAAACATTCAATTTGAATACATACAACAGAGATATAATTCCATTGTACTAGTCAGTACCAATAGCCATGCCATTTGGATGGTGACACGTTTATTGGTATTTTACTGCCATTGTGTCAAATACAAGTTTCCCTCTTGATTGTTTCGTTCTTCTCAATAATGTGGAAAGCATGTAGCACAAATTAGAAAAGTAAAAAGCAAAATTTTGTAGGTCTCTGTGCAGATTGCAAGGCATGCTATAGTTCAATGAAAGTCCCCCGAATGCAAAATACTACCCCAAAAAAAGGTAATGATAAAGCAGAAAAATAGACGGTTTATGGGGTTATTTTAGATCTATGTTTTGCTTTTAAGGAAAGTTTAGATATATATTTATTGTTCCAACTAAGCATCAACTCTGGTTAGGTTGATCTTGGCCTATGCGTATGCTGGAATTAAATTAAATTTTATCTGGATTTTAAGCCAAAATTAATGGTAAAAGCATACTGGAGTTCCCCAAGAGTACAAGTGCACCGGCCACCAAAGAGCACATTGGGTTTGATTGTAATTTATCATATTCCTTTTTTATTGAATTAATAAGAGAATGCAGCAAAGCCATTAAGTGTATTACAAGTTTAAAGAGCCTAGAAGGTAGCATTTAAGTGGAAACAATAAACAATGAATAACAAGAACTGTAGCCAAGCAACGAAAATCCAGGAGCATATCTAATGATTTCCAAAAGCCATCTAACTACGGGGAAAAGTACAGTTGTCCCTATTATTTCAGGCAGCCTTCTTTGAAGGTATTGCCTAGAAAATTATCACATCATGTTCTTCATTTGGTCCAGTTTGAGCCATACTTTATGTAAACGGCACTGGTGCTATTTTTTTCCCCCATTCTTTCCACATTATTTTGGTCTACCTTTCCTGCTTCCCTCTCTTACTATTTCAGTCCCATCACTCTTTCTCACATGTGCATCCATAAGATGCTCATCTCTTGAGAACAAATTTGTTGTCTCTGGCCTGAAGTTTCTTTAGCAACAAATGTTAGGTTCTTGTTTGAGAAAATGTAGGGGGATCAGTAGAAGACAATAATTAATGAAGTCAACTAAGCTAGATAATGGATATTTAACTGAAGCAGGTCATGTAAAAAATTATGATGTTAGCAGCAATCTGTATACCTTTTCTCTGTATTTCTGTCTTATTTCACAGATGTGGTTAGCTTGTGTATAGAGCATGTAAATTGTTTGGGTGCTATATGTAGTTCTGATGTTTTACATTGGTGGCTGTTATTTTGGTCTTATTTTATAAGCCTGTGGATCTGTTTGTACTTCATTGTTTCATCTTTCATCTCTAAGCTTGAGACAATATAGTATTCCTTTTGTAGATATAATTGTTTAGATAGAGACGCAAATTAGCTTATGTCTAGGACATAGCAGTCTATATCAAGATTTAGCAGTTGGTTTAAGAGAATGTGGATTAATTAATCTTTACCACTGCTTGTGTGCTGGCTGTTCCGTAATAAAAAGACAATACACTGCAAGTTGATTACAATATTATAGCCTTGATAACCTGGCATTTATGGTCTTATTGGACTAGTTAAAAGTTAGAATGTGCTGAGTATCATCAGATAATTATTAATTAATGCTTTAGGAATTGCTGTCGAACATATCATGACAAATCAACGCCTATGCTTGTGTCATGATAATGGCCTAAACCTGAAAGCAACAAATGAATAAGAGAGGGTTGGGATGGGAAGCAAACCAAGTTTTTTTCCTGCAAGGAACTTGCAAATACAGGTTCAAACACGGTACCCTTTTTCTATCTTCAAGAAGCCTAATTCTTTCTTTAGTCTTGACATGGGAATATGACCAAAATCATCATGTCTACACATCATGAAATATACCACAAAATAGCACACAAACACTCACAATGGCACAATTGTAATTATATACAATGTTTTGTCCATTGATATTATGTGAGTGTTTGCAACTTGTGCGTTTGTTGAATTTGTCATTTCCCTTTGTACTTCTATGGGAGTATCATGAGAATGAAATGCTCAAGTACTGCACCCCGAAATTAGATGAACTCGCCTCTGATATATTTAATAAATAATTGTAGTTGAGTCCATATGTTAGAGTAATGTTATCCATTCTGAAATATTATCTCAAATAAGTTTCCTGAAAGAAATCAACCGTTAATGGGATGGACCAAACTGGTGACTCCCATATGACACCAATTAGGAACTCATTCTGGATGAATTTTTTTGGGATGAATAGCATTATTCATTGTTTGCATTTAACTAGAATATAGAAATAGCATTCCTCAAGTGTGCTAGAGTTCATATCATACCTTATTCATCCTTTGACGTAATTAATAAAGATGCAGTGCTTTGAGCATGAGCTTCTAACTGGTGAGGAATGATTGATTGAGAAGCAATTAGTCATCCGAGAATCTTAGAAGGTCAATTCTGCATTTTCTAAAATTTGATTTCATAAGCAGTTCCATTACTGTTTAGTTTCCCTATCATTGTACACGTTGAGCAATATTATAAGCTGAGAATTGATCTGTTATTATCAAGAGTTCTCTTTAAATGGCAATAAAATGATGTTTTAGCTTGGCCTGGGATTGGTTAGAGGTTGCAAAGAGTTAATATGATTGATTGTTAATGTTTTCTAGATCTCTCGAGATTCAAGAGTATTCTTTATCCTTTACATGTATATCCTGCACATCTATTTGCTTCCACGGAATCACTTTCCTCCTGTCTATCCCCAGATTTTCATAACTGCCTTTTGGTTTTAAAATTCACCTTTTGAGCTTAACTGAAACAATTCTGCAGCCCATTCTGATACAACTGTAGCAAGGATGCTGGTTGGGAACAAATGTGATTTGGAGAATATCAGGGATGTTAGTGTGGAGGAAGGCAAAAGCCTCGCAGAAGCAGAAGGCTTGTTCTTCATAGAGACATCTGCTCTCGACTCAACAAATGTTAAAAAGGCCTTTGAGATTGTTATTCGAGAGATATATAACAACGTGAGCAGGAAGGTCTTGAATTCCGATACATACAAAGCTGAATTGTCTCTGAATAGGGTAACCCTTGTTAATAATGGGGGTGATTCCAAGCAAGCCCAGAGCTACTTTTCCTGCTGCTCCAGGTGATATCTGTTCCTTCTCATCTCCAACAAGTGTACAAGATATGGGATTTTTCATGGTTGGTTTGTTGATTCAATTTGGTTGGTTGGTTTGTTTTATTTAATTGTGATGACTTCAGGGCTTTATTAATTGCAAAAATAAGTTGATATTTATAGAAAATGAAATTGTTTAATTCAAGATAAAAGAAAGAGGTCAAGCTATTTGTGCTCTAGATAGCAGAATCATGTAATTGCACAAAAGAAAGTGAACGGTCATATTCCTTTGTGAGCTTGTTATTTTTAGTGGAAATTTTACACGTAGCTTTTACAGTTGTTTCTTTCTATTTAACAGCAACTTCATCCTTTTTCATAAGAGGAGCAACAGAGATGCATCTATTTGCTTATTGTACCCAGTTTCGTTTTCTTTTCTTTTTAAAGCCCCATTTAAGTCCACAATTATGGATTACTTGTAGTTGATCCCTAGCTCAGATGGACAGCCAGCCAGTTTTAATCAAGGAACCTTTTTTGGGTGGTAAAGGTCTTGCAACTATTGCTCCCCTTCCATATCCAAGTGACCTTAGCTAATTTCCTTTTCTCATTCGTTGCCCTACAATGGCAGACTTTGCTAAAAAAATTTTGGCTATTTAGACAAACAAGAATCAGGATGTAAGATTAACATCATCGCACAAGAACAGGAACTGAAAAAATCAACTTTGGTTTCTGCTTTTTGTCAATGACTTGAGAAAGCAATAAGTACTGCAAGTTGCTCTCAAGATAATAGTGAAATTCCTTGGTTGACTGGCAACCAAATATCACAGCCATAACGTGACCATGTAATTCAAGTACTGTTGGCCTAGCCATCCAACCAAACCCAAATCACGCTTTGCTAAATTATTCAACTCTCTCTCTCACACCGTACGTGTATTACCGTGTTTGCTGCTTGCGAAGTGGGCAATTGGGAGGCTCACCTAGGATTATGGGGAACCCAGCGCACAAGAAAAACTCAACCCTACCACTACTACTATCATAAGTCATAACACCCAAATAAGAAAAGAAATCATTAACTAATGCGGGAAGAGAAAATTTTAAATATTCAAAAAAAATTACTCGAGATCGAGCTACCACTATAAAATGTAATGCAAAGGGGAAAAATCAAGTTTGAAAAAAAGGTTAATAATAAAGAGATCAACTAAGATAAGCTGACCCATCATGACTTTAGTGATAGCCATCTTTGCTTCTCCAACTGCACTTTCCAACCTTCTAGAAACTGCTTTTTGCTCCAGTGAGAAAAGAAACATCCTTTTCAGCTTCTGTGTGTGATTGATGTGTGTAAATGCAGATATTGAAAGATAGAGACAGATAAAGATGATGTGTCGTTTATTTCTTCTCACTCTTTTTTTAAACAGTAGTAATGTGCTTTCATGGCTTGCAGAAAGGTTTTAACCCACTCACTGGGATCTCCAATACTTGGCCATTTCAAACCCATTTTTGCTATAGTGGTAGTCCTCAATGGTTTGATCAATTTCTGCCTGTGTGTTCATCACAAACGGTCCATACTGAACCACAGGCTCGTTAATCGGCTGTCCAGCAATCAGTACAAATCGCAGTGGCTTAGAAGATCTGTTCCACGCACTTAAACCATCTCCCGGACCTAAAACCAGGACATGATGAGCAGTTGTAGGCGAAGAATTTGGCTTGCCGAAGACCCCTTCACCTTCAATAATATACACAAATCCATTCCATGATTCTGGGATGTTTTGATGCACTTGAGCTCTGGGTTTCAGAGTGAAATCCAGATACATTGCTGGTGTCCTGGTATAAACTGGAGACTGCACTCCCATTGATTCCCCCGCTATAATTCTCACTTCAACCCCATCTTTCTCTGCTCTTTTTATGTCATCACTTAAAAGTTCTTGATACCTTGGTTCAATCCTGCAAAATAGGTTTCGGATTATAGTTAATTCTTTTGCATGGCGAATATAAAAGATAGATTCTGAAACTACTTTTTTCGAGATGAACATTAGAAATACATGGAGAAGTTTAAATTGCCTGTTGATAGGGGCAAAGCTGGCCTATCTTAAGGGTCAAGGAAAGTAGACATGTTTGAAAGCATTATAAGAATTAACTGGGACATTGACAAATACATACACGCAAAAAAAGTGCAGCTAAATTCTCATGAATATTTTAGAAACTAGAAAATCATTTGAAGTTTTTTTATGGATTGGCGTAATTTTTCTGTCGCATGTACATTTCAATAACGATGGTGTTTTTCCAAAATCAAACTTTGTTGTTCAGCATTTTAGACTAGCCATCCCTTCGAAGGTATTGTCAAAAGATCATCAATGAGAACTAGTAACTAACAGATGAGTTAAAGGGTTAGGAGCCAGGTTCTAGTGTAGCCCTTACAACCTTAAAACCCAGGGGAAAAAAAGTAGAGATAGTAATGCAGAAATTTCTAACATTTTGTATTGGGAAGATAGATTTATCCACAGCTGCAGACCCTTTTGCGCACCTTCTCCGGCAGGCATTTCTGAGTGGATGATCCCTCTTCCTGCTGTCATCCACTGCACAATCAAGGGGGAAAAAAAAAAAAAAAAAGCTAAGAATCAAATGAAACAAAGAAGAAGAAAACCTAAGATATATATATAACAGCATGAAATTCTCTGATTCGTTGCCCCATCTGAAACCCTTTACCTGCACATCTCCAGTATGGATTGTGCCCTTGTGTCCTGCAAAATCCTGATGAGTCATGCCTCCCTGATGTCCACAGTAATCAAACATCAGTTTTTAAAGACTTAATCTTCCAATAACCTGGTTTTTAAAAAAAAAAAAAAAACCGAAAACGACTTTACCTGCAGCATGTATGTAACAGTCTCAAAACCTGCAATTCATATTAAAAAAAAATTAAAATTAAAAAGAAAGGCATAAGATTCCAAATCTACCTTGTATGATCTAACAAGTAACCAAAACCCCCCAAAAAAGAAAACATTGAAAGTGATGGGAATAATTCAAGAACCTCTGTGTGGATGATCAGGAAATCCAGCAGGAGGAGACACTGCAACAACAACAACCAAATACCTTACAATCTCAATCCCATAAAATATTTCTTAAACCAATAAGTCATTGATATAAAACTAACCTGAAAAATCATCCAACATGAGAAAAGGATCCAAGAACTTCAGCTCACTCCTGAAATCAATTTCCCAAAACAAAAGGAACATCAAGAAACCAGGAAACCAGAACCGGAATAAATCAAGAACACAAGAAGCCATGCATGATTCAAAATTGATGTATTAAAAAAAACAAGAAGAAGGAACTACCTTCCAATGCCTCTTCTAACGACAGCACCATCACCTTCGTGTTGGAGCTTGGCCAGGACCTTCTTGGTCACCAATCTGGGTGTGCTGAAACCAATGGATTGATCTGATTCAGACATGATATTTCTGATACGGTTGATACTGTTACTAGCCTTGGTCCTAGTATTTGGATATAATCTGAACAGAAAGTTTCGATAAACAGAAGCTCTCATGTACTAGAAGCAAACAGGAAAATACTAAATGAAAATCAGTTCGTATTTTCTTGTTCGTGTCGTTGGATATAGTTGTAGGCTTTCTTTAGAAATTAGTACCTACTCTGCATCCATATATATAGCCAGGGCATGTGGCTTTGTGTGCTTTTGGACAAACAACACACAAACACACCCAAAAAAAAAAAAAAGACATTCTTGCTCCTTAAATTTTAAACATGAATACAACTTAATCACTAATTTTTGAAGACTTTTATTTTAGTTCCATAATTCTTGGTGACCTGACCGTCATCTTATTAAAACATCTCAGTTTTTTTCTAACCCCATCATGTTGGTTTTCTTTGAGAGCTTGAGTTTTTAAAAGTCTACATTTGAGATTAAGAAAAAAATCGATTAATATTTCAATGAAAGAAGGGTTTATAAGAATCGAAGAACTAAGTTAGAATTTTTCAAAGGTCAAGGACTGGATTATGTTTTTTTTCAAATTCAGGGAATAAAGATGATTTAAGAACACGTTTTGTTTTATTGGGGTTAGTTGGTACCTGTGACACGAGGGAAGTTGGAGGCGTGGGGATATCCTTCTATGTCTCTCCTTGGACCAATCATGATGATGATGTCAAGCTCTTGTCATCATGATGTTTTTTCATTTTTCACACCTGCTGCTTTACAATAAATTTTTCTTTTCTTTTCTTTTCTTTTTTTTTTTTGGCATGCCCTTTTCTTTTCCGTACGAAACTTTCTCCCGTAACCCTAAAATTATTATAAAAGTTCTTTTTACTGTTTTTCATTACTTTTTTTTCTTTCTATTCTTGTATTAATCTTTTCAAATCTAACTTGTAAACACTATTGTTTCCCTGTATGGAATTCATATCTTGTTATTTGAATAAATATTGAAGATTATATTTTGTTGTTCTGAAAGACTTGACATACATTGATTTTATTTTATTTTTGTTATGATAACGTTTATAAAATTTGACATATAATACAACGTAGTAGTGCGGTCAGTGAAAGATCTTAAAAAAAAAATGTACGTTTATGTTATTACTAAATTTTAGTATTTTACTGTCCCCAATAAAACTTAAGCTTTAGATTCTTAAAAAGAGAGATGCAAATGAAAAATATTACACATATAATCTATTGTAATTCAAAGTACATTGATAACTCAATAAAAAAAAAAATTGAAAAGGAAGCTAATTCAAAAATAGTACTTATGATTGAAAGAGAGAAATTAACATAGAATTATTTTTTTTTATTAGATGATATTTGTAGGATTGCGTTTCTTCAGATGACTCATTTGTACGTAATTTGTAAAAGTTTTATTCTTTATTCTAATTTAAAAAATAATAGAGAAAGTTGAGGAAAAATTAATGTAATTTGCATTATGTTTTGCTTTGATGAGGAACCTTCCTTTTCTAGACAATAAATGAAAATATATGGAAGATCGTTAACAGTTTTAATTGTGTATGTATATAAAACAATGATCAAATCCCTTATTTTTTCCTTTATTTTTTTTAATTCCATGATTTTAGGCACACGTCTTATTAATTGAACTTCTGTTTACAAATTTGACTCCATTTTCTTAGTTTTTTTTTTCTAAATTTAATTAGTGGGGTCATTTTAGTCCAAAATATTAAAAGTTTTCATTTATGTAACCCCAAATCAGTATTTTCTTTAAATTTGAGTGGCCACTTCTGTATGTATATACTACACGTAGATGGGATGGCATAGTGCAGCATATATATATATATATGTTCGTTCATTGGTCTATGCTAGTAACAAAGCAGCCGAGCTAAGTGTGAAATTATATATAATTAAAGTTCATAAAGTTTTGTTTGTTAATTGTTCATTAATTAAATCATTAAGTATTGTTTGAAATTAAGACAACAGTTGACAAATATTGAGAATGAATTTATTGAGTTTATTGCATGTCTCATAATTTATCTTGTTTATAATTTGAATGAATGATGTGAATGTATACATAGCTTTATATGGTCGGAGTTGTTTTCACACCTTACCCATTTGGTCAAAGTTGACTGATCGAACTTATGTTCAAAAACATTTAGTTTTAAATCCCAAGAAGGTTTGAACTTATATTCAAAAATGATAGTTGACCGATCAAACTTATATTCAAAATGATTAACCCCAAGGAGGTTTTTTTTTTAAAAAAAAAAAAGTTATTGGGTTCAAATCTTAGGATCAGCATTGAGATAATTTATTAATTTTTTTTTAGTACATCAGGCTGATGTAAAGGATGGATCTGTAAAATTGTTTAAAAAATTTTTAGTTTTAATTGACATGCAAGTTGATTGGATGATATTTTTATCGTAGAATCTTTAAAACAAAAAAAATTTTGTTTTTTTTAATATATCCAATTCATGTCTTTATCATAAAAACACTTGTCCATGCAAGGAGATATTAAAAATATATATTTTATGCCCAAAACGCCCAAAAGCATCTTTGATGTTAGTTTTTTTTTTTTTTTTTGAAAAAACATCCATTATGACAATATATTTTATAATGATTTTTCTTGAAAAGAATTTGTTCTTCGAGAGAATTAAATGGATCGATATTTTGAAGGTTTGCTTGATATCGGTTCGCTCGGAATCCAAAGCAAATTGCATAATACCATACAATTGAATATTGTCTAATAGTATTTTGAGCAAATATTCATTACATTAATGAACTATTTTGTTTAAAAATTAAATGGATATTATCTTGATGAATTATTAATTTTAAAAAAATATATTCTAATGTTAAGTAATATTGAAATTATAATATCAAAATAATTAAAATAGCTAAAATATAAGTTAAAATTAAAATATAATTGATTTAGGACATTATTTTTTATACAAAGAGGGGTGTGTAGGGTGTAAAGGATGTTTTTGTAGTATTTTCCTAAACCTAGAAGGGATTTTTGTTAAAATCATCCAACATTTGGAGAGTGTTAATTTGTCGTGCTTTACAATTTCAACTTTCTGGTATCTATGAAGCTAAAAAAACATTTGCAAATTAAGATGGTTTAATATAATTAATGCTCACACAAATTTTATTTTGTATCTTACACTAAAAATTATAATTATAATTAAAATTTTGAAATTAAATTCTATTTTTTATATGATATCTATCTTTCAGTTTTACAATGTTTTTAAGTCAACTTATATTTATTTGAAAAATGATAATTTACCAAAATTTTGTTCTTTCAAAAATAAGAAGATTAAAAATATGAGCAATATTGTTGTCTATTTTTAGTGCTAATAATAATAAATATACAGTGGGAATAATAATTTATAAATTAAGTTGAAATGGCATCATTCTAAATATTTTTTAACTCTTATTTCTTAATTTTTCGAATTGATCAGAAATAGATGTATATAGTTTATCATTCTAGCACGTAAGATAGTAACGAAATTGTAATGCCTCTTACGTGATGAAATAACTCGTAATGCTCACGATAGGAGGGATCACGACAATAGATTTGAAATAATTTGGCGTGGGATTAACTATAAAAAGAAGTTTCCTCTATTGGCAGTCTTTTTTATGTTACCAATTTCCACCGGTGATGGTGACCGTCTCATCCATGACAGCTCTTTAATTTTATCTGCCTTCCTCTCTCCTTCTTCTTCTTCTTCTTTTTTTTTTTTTTTAATTTCTTCTACTTTATTCTTTTAATTAATTAGTGTTTTTAGTTTGTTTTGTTTGTGTTTTATTACAACGATCATAGATCTGGTTCAAAATACCTACTGCATTATATGAGATGTTTAAGATCTTTAGAGTGAGGTTTTGGTGTCTTTGTTAGTTGAAAGAAATTGATGATCTTTTTGGTGAATTTGTCTATAAATCGAGCATTAGATGCATTAGTGATGTCCAAGAAAAATTCTATTTTTGGTACTGATCATTAGAAAATTTTAGCAATTTTTTTTTTTAAAAAAAAACGTTCATGAAAAGATCAAATATGGTTTATTCGGCATGATAATATAATAACTAGCTAGTGATTCTATATATCTTCTTGTTTATAATGACTCAGACAATGATTTAATTATATATTACCATCTATTATAAAAAGATACATTAAAAGGAATTTCAGTAACAAGTTACGGATACAATATAATAATAATATAGTAGATGTTTACGATAATTCTAAGATGTTTTTTTTATTTATTATTATTTTATGTTTGGTGGCTCATCCCAGCTGTTTTCTTAGGTTGGAAACTTCCTTGCGTCCTGATGTCTCTTGTATTTGATTTTGAACCCTCAAACTAGGATAGGATAGCTCTATTTTTGGATTTTGTGAAGGTTGGAATCTAAATCTCTAATTCAAAAGACGGCATCATACTTTTTTTCTGATTGGAGAATGGACGATGCATCCTCTTTTAAAATAACCAAATTTATCCAAATGACATCTATCATACCTAAGCATTGCGCTTGCGAAGGAACCTTGACTTCTATCGTTAGTTTAACCAGTCCCCATTTTTTATCGAAGAAAATCAACATGGGATCCCTACGCCTCTCCAGTTAGACGACAGCCAACTGGCATATGCAGGCCTAGGTGCCATCAAATGCCCACGTAAATGGGAAGGATTTGTAAAAGGGAAACATAGGACCTCCCACATGCCTGCCCAAATAGATATACCTAATTAGCACATCGATCTCAAAGTCAAACTGAGTTAACGTAATAAAGAAACCTTATTTAAAGGTTATCATGCAGCTAGCTAGTACTAAAATTAAAATAATTAATGTTAATCATACATAATTATCTTTATATAATTTATTTATTAAAACATATAAATTATTAGATTTATAAAAATTATTAACAAAATTCACTTATTTAATTTAAATTAAATAAGGGTATTTTGTTAATAATTTTTATAAATCCAATAATTTATATTTTTTTAATATGTAAAATAATTGTGTAAATTAGTTCAATTCACCAGACTACAAATTAATGAAATTACCCTTGGTCTAGTCGTATAAGCTCGTTTTGACAAGAAATTTGCATCATCATTATGTCATTGTTGCGAGCCCAAGTATTATTGGTCGAAAGTATGGTCAATATTCACAATCCCATGCTTTTGCCATCGAAGCTTTTTCAAAGAAGTTCAAATTAACAGGAGTAAGCGGGGAGGACCATTCTTTTATTTCTTTTCCTTTTTTTCTTTTTTTTCCCCCAAGAAGGCCTTGGAGGTTTTTTTCTGTTTTGTCAGAGTATGAAGTTGCCGGTTTCACCCCATTTAAATTGTTTGTGAAACTAAAGAGAAACATTGTACATGGAGCATAAGATCACTATGCACTGAGGTTTAAAAACAAAACAAAAACCATACATGAAATCCTGGAATTGTCAAATTTAAATTTGAATTCCCTTGCTACAAATTATGTAGGGTATATCCCATTTACTATCTAAAACTATGAAGCTTGTAAATTAGCAACGGTTAGAGAGGAACATGAGTGTTTGGGCTTTGTTACCATATTAATTGAAAGCAATTCATATTGTTGATGAAAAAAAAACCATAAATATTTTAACTTTCGGATTGAGTTAGTGAGCGAATGAAATTAAATTCTTTTCTAGAACGATTTTTTTAAAAAAAAAAACTATTCCCCACAATATGTATTTAATGCATTTAAGAAAATAAATTAATTCTCTTAAATTAATATTAGCCATGGGATTCTAATTTTGAAAAAAATAAAGAAGATGATCAACTTCATTAGCCACCCAACCTGTACCTGAAGATTAAAACGTATGTGTGCATAACTTCATTTCTATATTTTAGAACATTACTAATGCATCCGCTCAAGCCTCAACCCCCAACTAGAAGGAGTTAATCCCCAATGAAACAAATGCAAATGTAGGTATTTGTTTTAATTTTGGAATTTTGTGAGGAAAAAAAGGTACCGGTTGAAGATTCATAGGGCAAAAAAGAAAAAAGGATTAGAAATTTGAACTTGTTCATCAATCGGATAGAAAACAAAACAAGATTAAGGATTTGGGCTTGGTATTTTTATAAATTGAATTAGGTTTGTTAGTTTTTAGAATTATAGATTATTAGTGGGTGACATGTCATCCATTTAAACTAAATTTTAATCTTTTATCACTTCTCCTCTCATGTGGATTTTTATTTAAAGTGTTATCCTACATGTCATGTCATATGAGCTTGAAATCTTGAACGAAAAATGATTCTCGTGTTAAAATAATTATCTATTTATTTTTGAAAAAACGTACTATAATAATTAAAAGATGCATAGCTCATATTTTTATGATACAATAAATCAATTTTAAATATAACCTAATAATTTCTCCTTGAAAAAGAAAGCACTATTGCTAATACCGTGATTTCTTAATTTCCTTCTCTCTTTTTCCTTTTTTAAAGAATGCTGATGTTAGTGCTCACTTTTAATAATAGGATAACGTGCGTAGTCTTCGAAGAATGCCATTAGATCCCACGAGCCGGCCGGCATCACAATATTAGGGTCATCAATGACGGCCTTTTAATTTGATGCCGCCGGACTGCAATATTATAGTAGCTACAAATATTCCAATAATAGTTAATGATGTTTGACATGGTCATTTATAATTTATAGTTTGCTGATGACGCAAATGTTGTAGTCTTTGCCCGTTCTCTTCTTGCGTCATTGATATCGTTTCAATCATTTTTCTTTCTGAAGTAAAAAAAACAAAAAGTATAAACTATATCTTTAGCTCTTATATATTTATTAATGTTTCACTTTAGGCTCTATAATTTGAAACTTTCTAAGTCTAACTTTAGTGTTTCCAAAAAGTTTTAATTTGGCTCATGACTATTGAATGCCCAAAAGAATGCCCACTTTCCTATCTTCTCATTTCACTTTTTTATTTTTTTTCCTCTCAAATCATCATACATCGTGATATTATTTAACAAAAAAAAATCCCAGAACCTTTAAGAATTGAAAACTAGTTTGATTACCTGATCGTTAACTATTCAATGGTATAGGACCATATTGAAACTTTTTTATAAAAACATCAAGGTTGATATGAGCAGTCTTCATTTTTTTGCGATATCTCCATAAAAGTTATAGAATTCTCCTCCAAAATACTTATAAAATAAGATTTTGAATCGTTAATAAGATTTTTTTTTTCTTTACTAAATAATTAATAGCTCTTCATGTGATTGATCTCTCAAAATTAGAATCATAAATTCAAATTAAACTCGATGTATTGTCATTTTTCTTAGCAAGCATGAAATGGCTTTGGTTTCAATAATGGGCCTGACCAGAATTCACAAAGAATAAAAGCTTGGAAGATTTCCCACTTCTTGAGCATCTCAAGTCGGAATAGGATCATCCTAGGCTGGGCCCAAAGGAAACCAATTTTCCTGCTAACCATTGAAGGCAGTTTTGTAACACAAAGATGCATAAAAATGACAGAAAGATATTGTGGACATTATTCCTCTTTTCGGCTTAGATTATTACAATATTTTTATCCTTCCTACGCTGTAGATCGGATAAAAAAATAAAATTATTTTAAAAAAATTATTTTAGTTTGATGTTTCATATTATATTATACATATATCAAAATATATTAAATCAAAACTAAATAAAAATTCATTATATTTTATAATTTTTTAATAAAAAAATTGGATTTGATTGATTATTTTTTATATTTTTCATAAATTTTCAAATATTACAATAAATAAATAGTAATCAATCATTTTTTTTTCAATGTAGTGTAAAGTTCCAGCAGGTTTCCTAACCAAAATCCTTAGAGCCTATGCATAATTTAGGAATCATAGATAAATATTAATACATTGATAAATATGAAATGTATTTACCGAGAAGAAAATAACATAAAAGTTTTGCCAACAGCTATATTAATTGCAGCTTTAGTATCCTTAAGAGTATTGGCATAATTTTCAAGGGCAACGTGCGCGCTCTCTTCTTAGTCAATGGAGTTTCCATTTTTAGGTCAATTTGTAAAAAATAAAATTTTCATGAATCGTCTTATTTCTATATGGATAATTTGTTTTTAATTGATTTTAAACAAGCAGATTTAATTTTTGTATACAAAGTTGATTTGAGAATATCCTTAATGGTAAAATAAAAATAAAAACATTCTCTTGTAACTCATCCCAAATGTGTTAGCTTCGTAGGAGTAGACAATTGGTTGTCTTATAAATAAACTCATATTCAGCCATAATAATACTAAATAAATAAATAACTTTATTAGAAATATTAATCATCGACGTGTGGAAACTAGTATGAGAAAACTGTAAACATTTTTTTTTTTTTTTTTAAGAAAAGAACTTATTTCTAACAAGAAAAAGCTTCAACATCCCAATTGGATGTTATAATTTTTGCAATATTATTCGTCAAGCCACGATCGTAAAGAAGAAAAAGGCACTTATTAATTCATTTACAAGGTTTCGAAATAACCCTGCTGATCACCTGAATGGGATTGACCTTAGTATCTCAGTAAGTCTAAGATATAATCATTATCGGCAAATCCCAAACATTGCTTTATATGTACTTTTTTTATTATATTTATTTCATGATTTCCACACAGCACTAAACTGATGTGAAATCCAACTATAAAATGGTTCCCATCAGCTAGATTAATAAAGATACAAAAAGATATTTGCCGGGGAGACTGAACCTTTTACCTAGCAAAAATGGCCCATGACATTCTACAAGATATCGCATTAGCAGCAAAAGCAAGTCTTAGCGTCTTTCCCCTTGTAATTAACATGATAATTCAGCCAAAAAGGAAGGTGAGAAGTCGATTTTTATCATTACTTTAGAACGTCACATCGTTGATCTTCTGGAAGATTATAAGTCAACTTCTAAAAGCTGCGGTGGTGATTCCACAACGATATAGTGGGATTTGACCCATCTAGCCTCTTTGGCTTGACTTCGAGGACTTTAAAAACAGTCAAATCTTGTGAGGATCTGGGCTGGGGGCATGTGCGTCTCGGTTATCTGCTGTTATTTTGGGCTTAGGGTTCTGAAAATCATTCGAAGCAATAAGATTTACTTTTTAGGTGTCAGATTTTATGCAATATTAACTCGATTTTGCTTCAATTCAGTAAGATAAGAGCGACTTGCCCAAATGTTAGTTTGAATCCTAACGTAGAAGTGCCATTTCATTCCCTTCAGTTCATGCTACCCCAGTTTGAGGTATATTTATCAGATTTTTAAAACGAGGGATCATGAAAAAGGATTCGAATCTGATTATGCTCCTGTCATAGCCCACCAAGCAGTACAGTGTACTGGTCAGCTTAAATAAATGGACAAAATCGAAGGGAAGTTTCTTTCCCTCCATGTTTAGCCGAGTCTGAGAAGATAAAGCAGAATGAACATTTCATGGCATGTGACTGGAGATGCAGGACAGGTTAAAATAATACACAGCCCAATTTTACAATTGAGGTTCTGTTACTTGTTCATCAGGAACTCTCTTCTTTTTACCCTTGAACTCCTTAACATTTGCGTTTTGTATAGGACCAAATAGGCAGATACGTAGATCGCCTTGCAACAGTCGTTGATGGAAGTATCCCTTATACAAGTCCCAGAACTCGTCTCTGCCAAATAAAATGAATAAAAATGAGAGCAGAGATAGAGGGGATAGTTTGCGACGTTAATAAGACAAAATGTTGGAAACAAAATCAACCCAAACATTACAGAGAGAGGATCAGAACCAGATTGTACCTGACTTGAGGAAGGGTTAACAATGAATAACCCTTAACATCTGTATGCATGTCAAGTACAATCATTGTTAACCGTGAAAGCCCCAATGCCTCAATGTCAATCAACTTCTTTATCCTTGAAATAGTAAGGATGAATTATTAGCAAATCATATCTATTAAAGAGGAAATAAGACAGAAAAGCTAATACATATACTGACATGATGAAGCTCGAAACGAACAAAAAGAAATTCAAAATAAATAACCGCTTTAACAGAATACATTGATGACTAACCTGCTTGGTGTGCCACTGGCAAAATTTACACGGTTCTTCAACATGGCTACCTGCATTGACCATAGAAGATTCAACATGGAAATAAATTTTATTAAAAATAATCAAAGATTGTTAAAAAGGAAGGATTTGAGACCTAGAATATAGAATGCAAGCAGAAATTTTCATAATGTATCCAATAGTGAATGCGAGTAAGCAATTTCTTCTCTGAACATATTACAGAAAATTTTATCTGAATAGATAATATAAATTTTTTTGGAACACCAAAATATAGATATGAGCAATTTCATCTCAGTTTATAAGATTGGAACGTCTTTGACTTGTAGATATAGGTAACTGTCCTAGGCGATGAGCAAGAAATTTGCCTCTTAATTAACCACCCATTTGAACCTCAGAAAGTAATTTTCTTCAATTGTATCTCAACTATTACTTTTTCCATGTCCATGGTTCCAGGATCTATTCATTTCCTTAGTTATCCCTTGGTCGTCATTGTCAATAAAGCATCAGAAATTGAAAGGAACAGCCTAGATGGTTTTCTATATTGCTGTGGCAAACTCGTTAAGAAACAAAAACTCCAGCCTAACACTAATGCAAGGGAACTCACTGATTTCATATCATAACCATAGGATCCACACAAAAGAATCATAATTGAAAAGATAATTTTTGTCCACTTTTACTACGCTTATTCGCGTTTGCATCAAGTAGTCGAGCAGACTGAATACTTACTGAAAAAATATAAGGAAACAAAAATGCCATTGTCGAAGAACAGGAAGTCAGACAAAAAAGAAAAAAACAAGAGAAAAGAAAATCAACCACCGATTTGGTAATGCAACCATAAGAAAGCTGACCAAACTATCCACTTCCAATTATCAGCTACTTGCATGAACACAGGTGAATTTTGCCTCTCCATTTAAGAATGGTACTGTATGTGATAAAAACAGAGAACTATTCTGGGATCAGACTGACGTGCAAAATAGAATTTCAGCAGAGCTGGAACCTCTGATTAATTTTCTCATCATCTCCCAAACATGTGTACACACACACACATACATCACAGAAAATGATGGAGACTTGTCAAAGATCACAAAAATTGTTAAAACATTGAAAAAAAAATCAAAACCATACTTAAACATATGGATATATAAACAAAACAGTATCTAGGGGCATATTTTGATGTCAAATACAGGTGTGAATTCTCTGAAAGTCTGTTTGCAACTTGAGCATTGCATCCTAGACTCTGGATAGTAATACAATTTTGACAGAATGGTAAAAAAGAAACAGATTGCAAAAGGCCATTGATAAAACAAAAGAAATTAGTAACCGCAGTTGAGCAAAATAAATAGAGTACATAGAAGATAGACAATGAAAAAGAACCAGTGAGATTTTATTCGGGTCAGACTGACGTGCAAAATAACTATTCAGCAGTGCTGAAGCCTCTGACAATCTGCTTTGTCATCATACCTGAACTTGTGAATAACACATATCATGCAATTTCATCCTAGATTTATTGCAGATGGATGGAAGTAAAGTCAGAAACAAAATATATATATATATATATATTCTCATCAATGTGATCTTGGGATGGGACTGAACTTTAAAAATTCAAAACAGAAACAAAAATCCAAGATAATGACGATGGAAAAGGGAGGTGCTAAAACACAAATCAACAAAAGACTAACGAGCCCAATTTCAAAAATTAAATAAATTAATGCATAAAATACTTTATTTCAGATCAGACTGAGCTCGGTAGTGAAAATAAAATAAATTAGTGCATATAATACTTTATTTCGGATCAGACTGACGTGCAAAATATCAGCAGTGCTGAAAGCCTCTGATAATCTGTTTGGCATCATATCCAAACTAATCAATAAAAAAAAAAAGGACAAATGACAAGCCAAGCCATCTCACTACAGACATTGAGGACTCATTGGAGGTCATTAAGAGCAGATTAGAACCAAAACACAAGTACAAATCTTAATGAACATAAAAAAGTAGAAAAATAATCATGATCGGAGTGATTTCAGGATCAGACTGACATGCAAATGATGTGTTCAGCATCAATAGCTCCTTTAATTTTCAGTTTTGAAAATTAAATAAATCAGTGCATAATATACTTTATTTCAGATCAGACTGAGCTCAGTCATGAAAATAAAATAATTTAGTGCATAGATTACTTTATTTTGGATCAGACTGACGTGCAAAATATCAGCAGTGCTAAAAACCTCTGATAATCTGTTTTGGCATCATATCCAAACTCATCAATTAAAAAAAAATGACAAAACAAGCCATCTCACTACAAATTGAGGACTCATTGGAGGTCACTAAAAGTAGATTAGAACCAAAACACAAGTACAAATCTTAATGAACATAAAAAGGTAGAAACATAATCATGATCGGTGTGATTTTGGGATCAGACTGACGTGCAAATGATGTATACAGCATCGATAGCTCCTTTAATAATCTGTTGTAACTTTCATCATTTCCCAACTTCACAACAAAATGAATATATGGTAAAAGAAAAAAATGAAACACCAACCCATCTCACAATAGACATCAAGGACTCATTGGAGGTCATTGAAAGGACATTGGAACCAAAACACGAGTAGAAATCCCAATGAACATAAGAAAGTACAAAACTACTCATAATCAGTGTGAATTCAGGATCAGACTGACGTGCAAAAGATTTATTCAGCATCGATAGCTCCTTCAATAATCTGTTGTAACTATCATCGTTTCCCAACTTCACAACATAGAGAACATATAATAAATAAATAAATAAATAACTAGATATGTTTAAAAGTAAAAATTGCACAATTTTGAGAGATTCTGAAGTTCTTTTGACAACAAACACATTTTGGCAGTGAAAAGGAAGAAGAATGTGGATTATTGAAGCTGGAAAGAAAACAACAGGAACCCAAGATAAAAGAGAAAAGGTGGCAAGACAATATTTTCAATTCTTCTTCATCAAATACTTGAAGCAAGAAACTTACAACTCATGTGTATAGTAGCAAGATAACAAATTCTTATAATAAAGTGAAGCGCCAAATAATGAATCAGAAGTGTATATTCAAAAATATGATATTAACAGAAATAGTCACTTCCTATCTGTAATAACCAGAGTACTGATACAACTCGAGAACAAAAAGAATCAACAAACCCATGGATATGAACATCAAGAAAAATGACTGAGACCTTCATAAGCACCATAACCAATGTGTAAAACTGAAAGAGATCTATTTCCCTTGCAAATCGAAAATCATAATGCATTAACAATTCTTAGAAAAATATATCAGCCAGAGGAACATTTTAAAGGGAAATCTACACTATATATCCATTCAAAAATAAAATAAAAGGCTTGAAAAGACCAAGAAATAACCTGTTCCTCGACCTTCATATGCTTGGAGAATAACTTCGCAGCATGACATTCTTTCGTCAATGAGCGCACACCCCTAGAGTAGGAATATAATAAATTGTTAATTAGTACATTACGCTCTCAAAAAAGAAGTTTTCAAAACTACAGCATCAAATTGACATCAATTAGCTAAATTGAAATCATATCTATTTAGCAGTTACAGAAAAAAGTCAGAGACCTTAGAAGTTCGATAGATCTCAAGGCAGATGTAGTAAGAATGAGAACAGCAGGACTCCCTGGATCAATTCTGCCTCCCACCAACTGCCCTTCACAAAGAACTTGTTTCCAAGATGGGCCAAAAGCTGCCTTCGTGAGTTTCCCCAAGGCCATAACATCTTGACCCAATTCTTGAGATAACTCAACAAAGCAGGTCTCTGCATCATTAATGCATTCAGGTTCCAAACACACAAACACAAACATTAAAAAAAGAAAACAAAAGAAAAGAAATACCCTTAATTGATTCGAGCTCAAGGGATGAAAGCTGAACCGCATTGGCAGATTGAAACTCGTTTATGAAAAATCTAAGCTGCTGGGAAGCTGAAGATGAAGCCTCCTCGCTCTTGTTCTGGTTTTCTCTGTCTTTGGATTGGTCAGTCTTCTTGTTGATACCCTTTTTCTTCTTGAAGTTGATATTTTTACTAGGGTTTTTGAGAGAGAACTCCTTCTTCGTCGTCTTTGAGTGTTTTTCTGGTTTCCCGCTTCCCATTTTTCTCTTTTGCTTCTTTGCTTGCGATGCTGCGGCCTAACGCTGTAACGCAAGTGCTTATTTCTAGTACTAGGTTTTCCAGTTTGGCTTCGAAACCTAAAATCAATCATGGTCCTCAAACTACAGTGAATAGGTCCAGTCCGTCCTCTATGTTTATTTTAATTTAATAGGTCCCTCGAAATTTATATACAGACCATCGCTATATATATATATATATATATATATATATATATATTCTATGGACTCTAAATCTGTGAGTGATTCAGATTATTTCTTTTAGATTTTTTTGTCATGATTTTTTTTTTTTACTAGTAGTAAGGTCTAAATCTGCAATAACTAAAAATATGAAGAATTAGCGAACAAATTAAGAGGATTTGACAAATGGAATCAGTGAACAAAACAATGGGATTTGATGTATCAAAGTGCTTAGAATCATTAGTTCTGGTACTGAAAAGTGGAAGGTAATTGTCGTTGCTTTTATTAACATATCCGTGCATATCTGGATCAAATTCTATCGAGTGACAAAAATTAGAGTTTGAACTATAAAAGCGGTTTAAAATTGGAAGAGAGACAAAACAATGATAAAAATATAATAACAAGAAAATTAGGAAGCACGTTCCATGCTTTTGGAGTGCATGTTGTAGCGTCCTTGACCTAATTCCTTACAAAAACTTCGTATAACTTAACCATTTTAGTTCTAGAAAACTCAATTAATCACAAAATATCACTTATGATCGTTAAAACCTCATATTAGAAAGATTAGATTTTTTTTTTATTATTCAACTAATCAACAACATTCTTTCCACTTATAACCCTTTGATATTCAATCAAAACCACTTTTTCTTTGCTCATAAACACGTCTCAAAACACCTTCGGGAGTTCATATTTACATAGTTACATATACAATTCAAAACTCTCCTAGGATGCATATGCTCGGCATAATGAGAGAGAGGAGAGGGAGATCGCCAGCCGACTCGTTACTCATGTCGTGAAATGAGCGATAAAACAAGCTCTAAGCTTCTTAACTTCTTGTACCTAAAAAGTAATTGCATTTTTAATGAAATGCTACTCAATGAGAGAACAATAATTCATTGAAACCATAACATGCAATCACATCATCCGAGTATCATCACATATAAACAATACATGGAGTTCATATGACTCTAAGATTACATGCTTTTCTTTTTCTTGTCGGTTATGACTTGGACATGTCAAGTTCCGCCCGGATACTTGTAACTTGTAAACTTGTACACATGTATTGTCGGCGGCTTTTATAACTTGTAATTGACCCATTGAGTCCTTGTAAACTTGTAAACTTGTATTTACGAAACTTGGACAAGTCGAGTCATAACCTTAACCTCTTAGCCTTGCATATATCATGAATGTTTCACATATAGCATATACGACATCCATGGCCGACATCATGGTACATATCCATTATAACATCAATAAACATAACGTTTGCGTCAACTAGCAAACGGCACATCATTCACATCATGATATCAATATCAATACACATAACATCAATAAACACAACGTATGCGTCAACTAGCAAACGACACATCATTCACATCATAGAAATATAATATTAGCACTCAATAGCAATAACACATCATGGCACAACGATTATTATTCAACTCACAAAAATGACGTCTTCGCCGTTTATCAATGCATCGCGTCTCGCACCTCACGCTCCTCGGCGTCTATAAACACATACACATATACTTTTATAAGTCATTTTATCATGATCAAACTTCTAAATATGCTTAAGGTACAAAATATGACTTCAGGGTTAACTTATTCTTTTATGGGTACTTGACCCCTTTTCACTCTTTCTACCATAAGTCTCAAAATACAGATTCAAATGATGCAATTCTAGTTTCACATGAAACTAGACTCATAGAGCTCTAACATATCCAAAAATCAAGTCTAGGTACGAAATACACAACTCATGATGATTTTCTAAAAATCAGAGTTGCTGCCATTTGTTTATGGGTACTTGACCTCTTGACAGTTCATACTCTTTGTACTATAAATCCTAAAATACAGGGTAAAATGACAAAATTCTAGTTTTACATGAAACTAGACTCAAAGGGGTCTAACATATCCAAAAATCAGCCCAATATGCCATATCCATGATTTATTCTAGATTTTCAAACTCTAACTAGTTTCCAGCACCCTTGTTACCGAACAGTCTCCAAACAAATAACAATAAATCTAGATTGGGACATGATCAAGAACTAATTCTTTTTTAAAACAGAACTAGATATATCAATATAAAACATATCCAAAAATCAGGTCGAAATACTCAACACCCAAAGAATACCATATTTTTAAAGTTTGCACACTAATCTGCCAGCATCAGATCACCCAGAACAACATGTGTTCAAACCATCATAACCCGAAATATAAATTACTAAATACAAAACCCTTTCACAGAGAGCTAGATAAGACACAAACCAACAATTTTTATTCTTACAACTTGTTCCAGATCTGACCCTAAAGTCTCGAAATCAAGAGTGCAAAACAGAGTTGGGAATGAACTTACCTAGATTTTCAGCTTGATCATCCGAATTTGACAAAGAAATGGGGTTTTTCTCTCTTTCTCTCTCTCAAAATGGGAAACCATATGGGATAAGAATAGATAATGATCAGGTAAGTAATCTTGATAAGGTTGTGAAGATATTTTTGGCAAAGTTCATTTTGGTCCCTCAAGTTTTAGTTTGTTTTTATTCTAGTCCCCCAACTTAGATTACATTCAATTGAGTCCCTAATTCTTCCTATTATTCCAAATACTTACAATTGAGCCCCTATTTCTTCCTATTATTTCAAATACTTATTATCCAATACCCCACTAACATGTCATATGCATGTATAATTATATACGTGTAATTTCTAAGTATGCGTGTATGCATGAACAATGTATGTTTTTGGGACGGGGTTATTACAATATAACTTGGATTTATTAATTTAATTTTTTATCCTACATATAAAAAGAATATTATACCTATTATTTATTAAAAAAATTATTATATAAATTTTTATATAAAACTTATCCGGATAATATTAGTTTATTTCTTAATTTAATACTCGTTAAATTTAATTTATCAAAAATATTCATTTTAGTCTTTATAATTTTCAAGAAAAAAATTTTTGGTTTTTATTTTTTTGTTTATTTTTTTTCAAATTTATTTATAAGTTTTTTTATCCTCAAAATTTTTGAAAAAAAATATTTACTTTTATACAATTAGATACTTGCATACAAGACATATGTTTTGATACTATTAACTATTTAAGGTTATGGCAAAAAAAAAAAGTAAGAATGTAAATTCAAATTTGTACATGGGATGAATGTATGTCTAGTCATGACCGAAAAATAAATAAATTAATTAATTAAAATCTATTCCCGGTTCCAATCTCATTGGCGAAATCCATTTGTTTCGTTTTCGTTTTATTTCCTTGCTTTATCTGCACTTAATACCTGCCAATTAGGTTATTTTCTTGGTTTTTAGGTCTTTCTAATTCTCAAAAATAAGAATAGGTGAAGGAGTTTCCTTTCCATAAGTTTCATTATTGGTTATTGGTTACACTAGAGACTACATAAGATAGCAATATACGGATATCCAATTAATTAATTCAATTATTCATTATATCATAAGAAAATATCTTATTTATTATCTATTAAAAAATAATCATATAATTCTTTATTCTGTACATGTTAGTTTATCCATTAATTTAATATTCATTTAATATTCATAAAAAATAATTTATCAAGTATATTTTATTTTAGTCCTTGTAATTTTCAAGAAAGGTTTTTTATCCTTAAAATTTATTATTATTATTATTTTTTGCCTTTTGGTCATTTCTTTATAATTTTTTTGGTCCTTAAAGTGTTTAGAAAAAATATTTTGATCTTTAATTGTTAAAACATATGCAATTAGATCCTTATGTGTTTAAAAAATCAAAATAAATTAGTTGATATTAACGGGATAATGAATGGATATCCATATCCTTAAATTATATTAGTAGGTGTATGTTTTTTCGATTCTTGCCCATTTCAATATCCATTAGACCGGGGATGACAATGAACGAGTCCATTAATTCAATTTTTTACCTTATCCATTAAAAAAATATTCTACTTATTGTCCATTAAAAAATCATCATATAAATATTTAATTAGTCTATACCCCGTCTATATTAGTTTACATGTTATTTAATACACTGCTAAATTTAATTTATAAAAAATACTCATCTTAGTCCTTGTAACTTATAAGAAAAGTTTTTTTGATCCTTAAAATTTATTTTCTTTTGTATTTTGGTCATTTATTTATATGTTTTTTGATCCTTAGAGTTTTCGAAAAAAATATCTTAGTTCTTAAGTTTTAAATTTGATGCAATTAGATCATTGTATTTTAATTATGCTATTAGATCATTATATGGTCATTTATTTATATGTTTTTTTATCCTTAAATTTTATGCAATTAAATCACCGTATGTTCATATAAAACAATCTAAATAAATTAGTGAGTATTAATATAGTAATGAGTGGATATCCATACTCCAAAACTATATTAGTTGGTATGTGTTTTTTTTTTTATTTCCCACTTCAATATTCATTAGACCCGGGATGATAATGGGTGGGTATTCGACCCAATAATTCAATTTTTTATCCACCAATCAAAAAAATATTTTACTTATTACTTATTAACAAATCACCATATAAATCTTTACTCGATTCATACATGATCCATATTAGTTTAGGTGCCATTTAATATCCGTTAATTTAATTTGTCAAAAATATTCATCTTAGTCTTTATAATTTTCAAGAAATTTTTCTATCCTTAAAATTTATTTTCTTTTGTATTTTGGTCATTTAGTTATAAGTTTTTTGGTCCTCAAAGTTTTTGAAAAAAAAAACATTTTGATTCTTAATTCTTAAATTTTATACAATTGGATCCCTATATGTTAATAAAAAAAATCTAAATTAATTAGTGGATATTAATAGGATAAAGAATAAGTATTCATGTCTTGAAACCATACTAATAGGTATGTATTTTTTTATTTCTATCCACTTCAATACCTATTGAATATTTTTAATGAGTATTTATTGAACCGGATAAAACGAATATCCATTTTACATCTGATCCATTATCATTTCTGTATTAAATATTTTTAATTAGTATTTATTAGATCGAATAAAGTAATATCTACTTTATATCCGACGTGTTGCCATCCGAATTGTTATACTTTTTATTTGAAAACGATTACGTGACATCGTTGAAAAGATTGAGATCATGACTTTCGGGTCTTCAAGGATCCTAGGTTCGATTTCAATTTTCAAATAAATCCTCCAGCAGGGTAATAATATTATATTTATGATTTCCTTTTTTCTACTTCTTGTATTATGTTGATTTACTAAATGGTATAGTTTTTCAGGTTACTAAACGTCCATGTTGATGTGGCACAAAATCCTTAAGGGTGTATGCATAAATTCTCAAGGTTGATTCCAAGTTTGAGATTGGTAGAATCCATAAGGCCATTGAAGTTAGAAGTAATAGATAGCCATAGAAATATTTTGGTAGTTTTTCAAGGATTAAATAGACGATAGAATCGGGTTGGAGTTAGAAGTAATAGATAGCCATAGAAATATCAACATCATCAATATATAATTGCAAAACAAATGCAACTGTGCGTTTTATGGTAAAACATATTGATTGCCTATATGCTAATATATTTAAATTTTAACAAATAATATTTTGTCGTATATTAAAAAAATAACATATAAATTAACATATAAATTAGATCCATCTTGCCACACACACACACACATATATATATATATATATATATATGAGAAAATTTTAGATATTGATATCAAGTGGAAAAAACAGAATACGAGAAACACTGAATTATAATTTTTTAGCATAGAATTATAGTAATAAAATTTACTTAAACCAATAGAAATCTCGTATTATAAATTTCAATTTAAAATGCATACTGAATATTTCTCACTAAGATATAAAAATAATAACGATGACGACGATGACGACGGTGATCTTAAGTGAGATCAATCCACATTAAGGTCCTTCAAGATGTTTAAAAATTGATGATAGTATAAGGGTTGAATCATTCATTATTTAAACCCTTATTACTTTTCTATTAAATCTTTTTTCTTGGTAAAATTATGAAATAAAGTGATATAATATTATCTTTTTCAAAGATCGACACTGTAAATTCAATATGCATCAAGAAAATGAATATATTATATATTTCTAAATTTTGTATTACTTTTTATTTTAGTTTTAGGATAGAAATTTATAAATTGAATTTCAATCAATAAAAAAATTAAACATTGAAGACATATCTGAAGAAAATAATAATAAAATGCTACATAAATTATATGTTTATTGTATAAAAAATTATAAACTTTACCCTTTTTAATTATATTAGTACGTTCTTTTAATGTTAGATATAAAAAAATATAAACTAAGTTTTTGGTAACTATATTAAAACATGAATTTTTTCGACTTAAATTATGTTTCAGCTGAGTAGCATAAGAGATAAAATAAACACAAATATCACCTAAGATTTCACATCAGCCAGACAGACCCTAACCCGTATCCCAAGCCCGTCGACCTGTGTAGCCTGAGACAAGGATTTGTGATGTCCTCCACTTTTCGGCCAAATCGAAAGCTGAAACCACCACAAAATTGTTCCCCACACCTCCGTCAAACTTCTCTGACTAGTTAAAGTGGAGGAAAAAGCCATAGCAAGGTGAAAAAAAGGGGCCTACAGCCGCGAAACCCAACCCAAGAGTGTACTCACTTTATTTTGTGATTTTTTGACAAAATCGAAGCTTGAAATGGATAGAATCGATTTCTTTTAAGCCCTAGAGGTCGATTGGGACGAGTTTTGAGCCTTGAAAGCCATTAAATCCAATCAAATGATCAAAGAAGTAGGAGAACAAAATGATTGGCGGGTCATGGATCGCAAGTCGTTTTCCTCCTCCTCTTGTCGTTTTTCGTCACTATCACAGAGAGAGGACTACTAGAACGACGTTGTCGCTGGAATGACGATGCATTTTTCTGTCGAGGTTTCAACCTCTGATTCGATCGAAAAGTGGCAGGTTCAAGAGAAAGACTCGCTGTTGAGTCTGGCGAGTTTGGGATGCGAGTTAGGATCTATTTGGCTGACTTGGAATCCTATGTGGTATCTTGTCATGCTGTCATTCTATTTCTCACATCACATTAGTTGAAAACGAAATTTAAGATGAAAAAATTCACTATGCTAGTATCGATAACAAAAGCTTAATGTGATTAAAAAGTATAAAATTCAAGATTTTTTTTTGTACAGTAAGCCTAAATTATATAAAATTTGGATTAAGCGCCTTTAACGCATATGAGATCTATTACTATTTATATTTAAACCCAAGAAAATCAATACAAACAACTATAATTATAATCACTATAACAATACACAAAATTACGATAATATAGTTAAATCAAAAGATAATTGACTACATACGAATTATCAAACTACTAAAATTATTTCACCGTTACAACAGAGGCATAAGACGAGTATTATTGTGTTTGAGAAATCCATCTCCATTGATGAGAGTTCGAGAAAGGGAAGGTGACAGATTGCAAATAAAAAGCGGACTTGTGGCGTTTTCAAGGTAAAAAAATCGAAGGGTAATATTTACCCCTCCTAGCTGCGGAGCAACATTTCGCCACACTTTCGGGGTGAAGTGTCTCACCTTTCTTGTTAACCCTTAACATTTGGTTTTGTTAAAACATAAAGGAGGTGTGAGGTTACTGGAGCACACTTTCACCCCCTTTCAACACCTACCAAACACATCCTTAAAAATAAATAATTCATTTTGATAAATTAAATTACTCACTGACCGTCCCCAAAGTGGGCATAACCGTAACACGCAGTACAAAGGTTAATCTCAGATGTAAAATATATTTCCAATTTAACCCTTAATTCAACTTGATAGGGGATTTAGAAACTGAAATATATTTCCAATTTCATCTAACTTGTTGCTCCTATCTTTAAGATCAATTCACATTCTCTAATCCTTCGTATCCAGATGAATTTTACGTGACCCATGTAAAAGAGGCTTTTTTTTTTTTTCCCAATATACCTAAGCTAGGATTAACTATAAAATCAGGAAGTAGTTCTTTGCCTCATCCATTTTGTAGCTGACCACTTCTCCCCAGAAATAACCTCACATCCTCCGTGTATGCTGTTAGGGTCTGACTGGCCATCTAGTCCCTGAAAGAAGCAAGAACAACAAACTAGCATCAGACTGGCTCTGCATCTATCAAAACATCAGTTGAGCTTCCACTGCATCATTTAAGGCCAGCAATCTAATAATTTTGATCTAAAGTAAAATCCAATACGAATTGCATGTCAGACAGGTTTCTTAGGCTTTCAGGATGGGTCATTTAAGCATTTCTGGGATTTGGGTCCAGGCTGTACATCTTCAATGAAACCCTTAATAGCAGGTAGAGAAGCTAAATTTGGCAGTTGAAATAGGAGAAAATGTTACAATAGAAAGCTCAAGATGTCCCATCGCTAGTAGCACAACTCAAGCAGAATTTCAAACCATTCTGAAGTTCTAAATCCTCTTTATGAAAAAAGAAAAATAATGCATGAAGCAACATGCTACTTGAGGCAGTTTACAGTTCCAAACATAGTCAAATGATTACTCCTGAAAACCTTATTTTTCACACCCACACACACATAAAGTGAAGGGGTTTCATATAAAACTCTGCAAGTGCATAAATTTAGCAAGTAGGGTTGGAAAACAGACCATGCTCCAGAAAAGCACCGCATCTCCTTTGATTGGTTTTACAGACAGCCCTTCCACAACTTTTCCACCACAGCTACATTTACCTGAACCAGCCTGCAATCACTCATAGGTGCAAACACCCATGCAGTACTAACCTTAACACATGATCATTACAAGTAAAGAATCGGTAGAAAATGGCAATTATAACAGTCAAGCAATTAAACATAAAACTTTCATGTTAAGATATAACTTGAAACATGTGATTTGCAGTTACAAGCACAGGTAATCAACCACTCACATTACGAACAGTAATTTTGTTAGTCTTCATGGTAGAAACAGCAGTGCCTGTTATGATGTGAATATAGTATTATATCTTGACAAGTTATTCAATTTGCAGGCCACCTAATGGTGATCCTATGAGACCTGTAAAGACTACACAGGAACCAACTCAATTGGGCAGGATGATAGTGCTAAAAAGTGAAAACAGGCTTGGAAGCTATTACCAACATCCGAAACACGAAGTTTCAGTGGTTCCTTCACATGTTAATATTCTAGACAATTATTCCTGTATGAGGAGTCTAATCCCCACTCCTGGGATCAGCACAACAAAGACAAGTGCATTGAAATAGATGCCAGCCATGGAAATAGGCCCAGTCTTATTGCTATTCTGTAGTGTAAAAGATTGAAAGACTGAAATTTCTTTAAAACTCCATTGTGGTATTTCTCAACTTAATTAATTACTCTCTTGTGGTTTCATGCCAGCAAGTTTCCCTCTAGACAGTATAATACCATTGTATGCTAAAATGAATGTCTAGACACAATGGACGCACACGGAGGATTCAAAGCAGGAAATAAATCGCAACAGTTCTAATGTACTTTCAAGAGAGAGATTGAGACCCAAGTATACTATGTTTGCTCACAAGCACCCTAGCCAGAGCCAATTGGAACTGAGGGAGGCACTGCACTTTGCGCATTCTAAAGAAGATAGATCTCAATAAGTTATAATACAACCAGAGAGGGGGAGAGAGAGACTGACCCAAGACACAGTAACAAATTGCAACTGGCCAAAATTTCTGAAATTTAAAGACTTGCTACTTCTCAATTGTAAATAAGGCCTCAAAATGTTGCAAACTTACTCATTCCTAACAAAAGCCTCCTCCTCCTCCTGGAGAGTTTCTGTAATTGGGATGAGATGAGGGTGGCAAAGATAAGGGATCTGAATGAGAACAGCAGAGAAAGCTACTAAAGGGATTCTGAATGAAAACAGTGGAGAAAGCTACTGAAGGGATTCTGAATGAAAACAGTGGAGAAATCTACTGAAGGAGGAGAGGGGTTTTCAACACCGAAAATCTCCTTGCTAAAATACCGTGAAAGAAGACTTGATACAATCAAGATAGCCAGGACACACAACTATCTTACTAACTGATCCTTAAGAACACCCATGTAGAATGGAAGCAATCTTTTGAAATTAATGAGTTCTTCCCATGCCCATGTACAATAAATTCACTTTTTTCCAACGAAACAGGAGTGCCATAAATCAGAGATGATAAAATGAACATAAAGCATCAGACTTAACAATACTTACCATTGGGAAATATGTTTCCCCACCCTCAACATTGTCGCTTAAGTACATCAGCATTGTTGCTACTCGCTGACCACCACGCTTCAAGTTAAACTATAAAAAATGTTAAGAGAGAGCGATTTTCATACTGTGAGACAACTGAAATTAAGGAAAAGTGAAGTAATAAAAGTACATGTAAAGAGAGATTTATTGACAATAAAACAGGGAAGATTAAATGACTCACAGTATCAGAAAAGTAGTCATGATGGGGCTTGTAATACTGATTCTTTTCATACCTGTGCTGCAGCAGATGTTAGCTTCAATACTACAAAACATTAGTCTTACAATTTTGTGACCAAGTACATGTTAGTAAATAAGTTAGATCTGCACCTTAAAACTTGTATGAGCTCTCCATTTTCAACGGGCACTTGAGAATAGACTGAAATCCGTTTTTCAATTGCCTGGTGGCTCAACATAAAAATAAAAGTTGGATTATGCATCTAAGTTAATAAGCATGGTTACGTATTCCAGCTATAATTACAGCAATTTGCTCGTGTTTTCATTTTTATTACTTTTTAAGAAATCAATCCATAGATACGCCGATGAAGAGATTTTCATGATCTACACAAATAAAAACTAAATAAACTTTTTGTTAGATAAAATTACAAATTAAAAAAAAAAAAAACAACAACAACAACAAAAAGTTATGCAAAAAACATGAAGTGACTGCTTATTCTCAAACAAGGTATAAGCTGATCCATGCATGAATGCATCCATGTCAGTCGCAATATGATGAGTATGGCATGCATGCAACATTGAACGCATTAAAAAGCTTTTTTAAGCTTCTAGAACATCTCAGAGAAGAATGAAGATGACGCGAGAAGCAAGTTTGACAACAAACTAACCTGTACCATTGGATACTTCTTCTCTTCTGAACTCAGAAACATTCCAGAGCTTGTCCTTACCTTACTTTCAACTCCCTGAAAATACAGGCACATCATGTTCAAATAGTCATTTGACACTAAATCAGTTAAATAAACGAGTCAAACAAATTTGGAAAGAAAAAAGGGCAGTTCAAAGGAGTACTGGAGTTATAATATTAAAGTCTCAGAGTCATATCCATTTTGAAAAATTGGGTAAACCTCAATATAAGTCCACAAATTACATAGGGGCTGTCAAATGAATCCCCAAACAATTTTTGTCCCAATTGGGTCCCAGAGTTTCAGAAAATTCTCAATTGAGTCCCCCACCAATATATGTTGATAGATGGGAGTCCATTCAAATTGTACATTTTTTCCATCATAGGCAGCACAGTTCTGTAAGTCGTGCATCAATCCAAAAAACACATGAAACATAGATTGAATAAGTTGCAAGGGAACTTTTGTTTCTATAGAAGTTGCAAGTAATACTAAAAGGACAAATTTTCTATAACTTCATAATGATAAAACTTGGGTTCTTGAAAATCAATTAATAACATCAGAACTGGCAAAAAGAATAAGCCTTTATCAGAGGTGAAGACATCTGGCATGCCAAAGTTTATAGAAAATATAAGCAAAGAGCAGAAATGATAAACCATTACATGGTCTATTAAAGCAGCGAGGTATACCTTCCCTGTTTTTACATCCACCACAGTAGAAGTTCGAAGCCGAGGTTTAGCCATGGCTCTAAGATAATCACATTCCTGCAATGGCAGTACAATTATCAAGAGGCAAATGCATCATGCAATTTTTACAGTATCAGAATGCTCCTTCCACCCCTTTATACATCAAGAAGCAATATGTAGCTGTAAACAATAGATCGCTGTGCATCAGATATAAATGTTGTGATGGCACAATTGAGCTCTGCTAGCTTTCTTAGGGAAAAACGAAGGCTAATTTCAGAAAACAAAGAAGATAATAGTGATAGTTACAACACAAATTACGAATGACTCTTATTCAAAAAGTTCAAAAAAAGCAGGTTCAGGTCCATTGATACCAGGGTAAAGAGCTATTTGCCAAGCCAATTAACAACTATGAGTATGAACTAGTCTGCCTCCTCATATTTAATATAAACTACAAGGTTATCTTCCCCTCTCATATCATAATTATTATGTTCCTAAACCACTAAGCCAAGCATTCCAAATCCTTTTAAGGGCTGTTATCACATAATAAAAGAGAGCCTACTAGAGGCTATCACCTGAAATCCTCTCCAACACCCCACCTCCCACCACCCAAAGGAAGAGCTAGCATGTTCTTTTATGCAACCACAATAAGACACCAGTCGAAAAAAATCAATATGGAAAATGAAATAGAAATTGAATAGTCAATTGATAAAAGTAAGGCATTACTACTAATTTATTTTATTTTTATTATTATTATTATTGTACCTTATTGTTATGGTTGTAGAACCTCACAAAACAATTTTGTGAAATCGACAGGATAAAAATAGTTTATGGCAGGAGAAAGAACATGGAAGCCAATGACCAATAGCCTCTGCACACTTTAGCCCACTACCTGAACATTCGTAAGTAACCTATCTTTTCTTTTCTTTTTTAATTATTAAGCCACATGCTATTAACATAAACAGATAATTTCATGATATATTATCTCTAAATATTTGTTAATGTTATGTCCACTATACACGTTATTAGTCAGACTAACAATAATTTCAAAATTATTGGAACTAATCCCCATAAAGTAAACTCCTTGCTGGCTGAGTTCAATTCAGAATCCAATAGCGCCATAATAATCAAGAAAAGTTCAATTCAATCATGAGTTAGGATATAGGCATACCTCCATGCTCAAAAAATTATGTAATACAATAATTCGCGGTGACCAGCTAATAATTTCAGGTTTGACCTACATCAATAGAAACAGAGAAAATTTAAACTTCACCACTCAGTGTGTAAATTTCAAAAAACAAAACAAAAGAAATAATAAGTTTCAGGTTTGAATACACGAAAACTTTCCTACATAAAATATAAGCATGCCATGTAAGAAGTAATCGTCATGATTTTGCCATACTATCAAGTACATTCAGTTTTATCAGATTCCACCTATGAGACACTAGTTAGCATGTGCCAGATTTATTACAGCTATATTTAATAGGTTTTTTTTTTCAACTTTTTCTGCATGCATATTTTCTCTCTCTTCCTCCATCTCGCTAAGAGATGCATTGAGTCCATGGACATTCTTTTTTAATGTTTACGGCAATCAAGGAGGCCAGATAGAAAACATACATATCCAATACGCAAATCTTCTGCTTCTTGGTCATTATCCCAATGAGAAATCCCTGAAAATAAAAATAAAAAGCACAAGTTTTAGATGCTTATCAAACAATATTGGATAAAGAACAAGAGGTTTATAACCATAAAGACAATACAGCCTATAAATATTGAAAAAAAGCAGGACCTAGTAATGCAAACTATCATTTTGGCATATCTATCTGTATTCTAAATGATAGTGAACATGTATATAGGAACTATACCAACCTCTCGGCAACTGAAGATAGCCATCATTTTGAAGTTTTCGCACTCTTTTAAATGATGGAAACTTGGTGCCTATAAAGGATAGGATGGTTCACGAGAAAACACACCCAAATATTAGTCTAGTTCTTAAGCAATCATCGTTCATCACGTATAAAGAGAACAAGATATCTAACTTCACATTCAAAGCAAACCTGCCAACATATTTCTCCACAATCACTAATTTGTAATATCACTATCACTCTGTTGATTGGAGAAATCAAAATTAGAAAACAGAATCGAAAATAATGCTGTGATGGAATGTAGATTAGGCACCCATGAAGAAACCTTAGACTGAGTCTAAAACTTAAACCAAACAGCCCTAAACTCCTTTCAAACGTTCATTGCATCAGCACATATATCATGGATATCAAAAAAGGCATCTATTTAAGTAAATGACAACTGATACATGCCATGTTAACAATATCGTGCTTTGTCATGTTCTTATCCTACATAAGCATAAGGAACTCCCGTAACAGTTCTGAATTTCGATGGGAGTTAATACCTCAAATCCGAGTCAAAGAACAACACTCACTGTCGCAATATAATAAACCTAGTAAGAATTAAACAGCAACTCCTTCCTACATTATAAATCAGCAAAAAGACAACCGACATGTTACTTGGGTTAAAACTGTTTCTTCTAAACTAATTCCCCGTAAGAATAGATACTCATAATGTTCACACATAAGAAAAGCAAGCAATGCCCTAGATTATAACAGAAAAGTGACTATGATATATTCCATTAACATTTAAAAGACAAAGGAAATTACCATAGGAGCCTTCCAGCTTTCGTATAAACGCAATTTGAAAGAAAGCACCTGCAATTCCTAACCAAAATCATCAATTTGCCTCAACTATTTATTATACATATAATCGATGAACAAAAAAAATGGTGAGATCCATAACAACTCTTTTAGTGATAATCGAGATCGTGGATTAGATAGACAGATAGATACCTATGATCATTCCAACAGTGACAAACATTAGGAGTCCGAATACGATTTTCATGGCGGAGGCCATTGCCTCTCGTCTGCCTCCGAAACGATCGCAGACGAACAAAGAAGTAAGTGAAAATCTGCCTACTCCTCTCCTTCAGTGATTGCTGCTGCTTCCTTTTGGGAACACAAATAACAGCTCTTCTTCTAGCTTTCAGTTTTCTATTTTTGCTTTATTATTGTTCTTATTGTGTTAAGTTAAAATAAATTAATTAAGGATTGAAAAGTAACCATATTTTGCTTTATTTTTTACGAGAAATCTGGGGGCGGTGATTTGTCAATCTGTGGGCTGGTTAGTAGCTTTAGTACAGTACAAAAGTGACGCCGTCGGATAGCAAGCTTAAGGTGTGTTTGTTTGGCATTATTTTTCGTTGCCTCTTTCTCGCTATAAAATTGCTCAAGGTAAATCGGTGTCTTGTTAAACCTAACATAATTTATTTATAGGTAAATCATTTTCTTGGTTAATCCTACATAAACATGTCCTCGTTTTTGTTGAATTTAAATTGAAACGCCATTAATTATTACTATATTAATTTTTTTATCCGCATTATACTGCGAATCAAATAAAATATAAAAAAATTATTTTATTTTAATGTTTTGTATTATATTGTGCATATATTACAATTTATTAAATCAAAACTAAATAAATTCATTTTATTTTATAATTTTTAATCAAAATTTTGAATTTGACTTATATTTTTTATATTTTTCATAAATTTTTGAAACATTATTTATTTATCTCTATCCACAAACTAAAAAATTTATAATAATATAAAAAATATCAAAATCATTCGATTCTTAGCTAAAAATTTATTTTGTAAATTATTTTTTCTGAAAATTGTTTACCTTTAAATTTTTAATTAAAGAGAAAAAAAGAAGAAGAAGAAAGGACTAAGGTTATTAAAATGAAATTAAAAAAAGACCAAAATGAAACAATAAATATGTATAGACTAAAAAAATAATGTTTTTTTTTTTAAATGATTAAAATATAATGTAACAAAAACTTTCATAATGAAATAAATAGTGCATCTGAATTTTGGTTAATAATGTGAATGAATATGGATGAATAATGTTTCAAATAGTACGAGTAAATAGTAATCGATCATTTTACTTATTATTTTTATTAATACAAATAGAAACAAAGTAATTTCTTATTATAAGTGAAATCATTTTTATTTAATTTGAATTCATTTATCTAAATTAGGTGAGAGTAAAACAATGAGTTGAGTTGCTATATTTTTTTCTTAAGCTAAATCATTTTTATTCAATTTGAATTCAATATATTTTAAGATAACATAAGAGGCTATCAACCTCTTCTTTTCCATTTGAAAAAAAAAATGATAAAATGCCTGACTCCCTTACCTGATCACTTTAACACCTATTGTTGTTACTGTCACCCCCTCATGTTCTCTTTTAAATCATACCACTTTATCGATTTATCGTGAAGCATAAGTTTAAGGTTTTTATCCTTAGCATTTAAAAACAATTCGTATGAAACACTTTTGTAAAAGATTGATTTGGATAGTTGGATATCTATTTTCTTTGAAGAAATTATTAGCTTTGTTAAAGTGATATTTCAAGCGAACTAAAGTGAAGATTTTCTATTAATGCGCACGTGCACCAAAAATTAAATGAGTTGTATTTTATATTATCCTAAAAAACCATATTAAAATCATTTTTCTTAAATTCTTTTAATTTTCATAATTTGTGCAGATTTATAGTTGAACGTGTGAGTTTTAAAATCCAATTAGCATTCATTGAGCCATTCCATTTGAATTTTCTTTTTAAAGATAAATGTAGATGTATATTTTCTACCATCTAGTTTGTAGCTAGATCCTTTTGTTATAGACTCCAGGAGTGTGTAGGTAACGTCGAAACTAAGCAGGTTGAAGTTTTTAAATTGTTGAATTCTTTTATGCATGTGTGTATATATATACATATTCATAAATGCAAACGTGTACACACGCATTATATATATTAATTTTGTTTGTACGTTTTTATTTATTTATTTAAGAAAACCTATTAATATATCTCTGTATATACATCTATTATTATAAGGTAGATATATTTATCTCTTCTTGTATAACATCCAAAGTTTCTCATTTATTTTTAGATTTTTAATTGCATTTCATATATTTATAGAAGTGTTTGAATATCCAATCTCTCTTTTCGATTAATTTTTTCAGCTAAATAACATTTTTTTACCAAAATGCTCTTGATTGAAATGTAAAAAATAAAATAAAATCTAAAGACATACAAAATATAACATACAAGTCACGTTACTTTAAGTGTTTTTTTTTTACATATATTTTAGTAAAAGGCATTTTGGTTAAGAAAAAAATTATAGTAAAAAAATTTAATCGAAATGAGAGATTCAACATTTAAAAAAAAAAAAAGTTAAAAGACAAATAAAATGCAATTAAAAATTTAGGACCAGATTGAAGGTTTTGAGTATTATACAAGTACATATGAATATATTTACCATCATGCATTGTTATATATACAAAAACCCAGTTTAGTCCTAATCTTACACCATTTTCGATTAGTTATAAACTAATTTTTTTGTCCAGCGCTTACGCTACGAATTAGATAAAATATATAAAATTGTTTAAAAAAATTATTTTAGTTTGATAGTCTATTTTATGATATGAATCTATAAAAATATATGAAATCAACCGTGAAAAAATTTATTTATACTTTTTTAATGAAAAATTTTGTATTTAATTATTTCTTATTTGTGTTTTTCATAATTTTTCCTTTAGAAAAACAATTTATCCTTATTAATCCATGGGTTATTAACTAAAAAGAAAATTAAATATTTTTTTTTAAAAAAAAGCTTTAGTATTTCATAAGATTGTGTCAAAAAACATAAATAACAATTATTAAAAGCTTACATAGAATTGAACAAATAATTTTTTTTATTTAATGTTTATGAGAATATCGGTTTTGAAAAAATATGAATTTAATTTTTATATATTTATTTACAAAATAATGAATAATATTAAAAAAATATATTAATTTGACTTTCAACTATTAATTAATTAATTTGAGCTTTTTCTAAAAAAACTAAGAAAAAATTATTTGAAATACACTTTTAATCTAAAAATATATTTTAGACAAATTATATACACTAATCCTACCACAATAATTTAAAAGTTATATAAATCTATTTTTCAAAAGAAAAAATAATCATGTTCTAAAAATTTATTTCAAAATCCATACATATAGAAAAATAAATCAAAATTGTCACTAAATATAATTTTAATTAATTGGATGAGAATTAAAAAAAAAGATAAATTAAAGTAGTAGATTTTAAATAATAAAAATAATTAACAAAAAAATATTAAAACAAAATGAGACCAAATCACAATATAATCAAAGTTTGAAATTAAAGAAAAAAAGAGAGAATTTAAAAACAAGACAAATTAATGTAGTAAATTTTAAATAACATAAAAAAAAAACCAAGAAAAATTATTTGAAAAAAAAATTAATCTAAAAATGTATTTCAAACAAATTATATATATTAATCATGCCATTATAATTTAAAAATTAGCTAAATCAATTTTTTTTTAAAAAATAATAATCATATTCTAAAAATTTATTCCAAAATCCATGCATATAGAAAAATAAATCAAAATTATCAGTAAATATAATTTTAAATTAATTAGATGATAATTTTTAAGAAAAATGACAAATTAAAGTAATAAATTTTAAATAATAATCAACAAAAACTGCTAAAACAAAATACAACCAAATCACAATATAATCAAATTTTAAAAGTGAAAAAAAAAGAATTTAAAAAAATGAAAAATTAATGTAGCAAATTTAAAATAATATAAAAATCGAGAAAAAATTATTTAAAATGCACTTTTAATCTAAAAATGTATTTCGAAAAAATTATATATATTAATCGTGCTACTATAATTTAAAAATTATCTGAATCTATTTTTCAAAAGAAAAAATAATCATGTTCTAAAAATTTATTCCAATATCCATACATATAGAAAAAAATAAATAAATAAATCAGTAAATATAATTTTAAATTAATTGGATGAGAATTTTAAAAAAAAATAACAAATTAAAGTAGTAAATTTTAAACAATAAAAATAATTAACAAAAAATACTAAAACAAAATGAGACCAAACCATAATATAATTAAAGTTTAAAATTGAAAAAAGAAAGAGAATTTTAAAAAAATGACAAATTAAGATTATAAATTTTAAATAATAAAAACAATTGACAAAAAACACTAAAACAAAATTGAATAAAATCATAATACGATTAAAGTTTGAAATTGAAAAAAAATATAGAAAATTTGAGGATTAAAGTGTTACAAAAACACCATGAATAGTGAAAGGAATAGCGACATGTGAGTGTGTGAATAGTGTTTCAAATAGTGAATGAATAGTAAAAATATGTTTTACTTTAGTTTTATTGATAATCTATCAATTCCATCAATACACTCTTAAACATCTTAAACAATTCTCAATTAAGTTTTTTATTTGATATTCATTAACTTATATATTAAATATATTTTTTAAAACTACATGATTTTGTTGCACAAAATATACATATCAAACGAGGATCATTAAAAAAAATTGACAAAACTATCCTCTTAAAAAATACGAGATGACATTGTAGAACTAATCGATAAAACTTATATGTTCCGGACTAAATTAAGGTTTTCATTTGCCGTTTCATTATAGCTTTTAAAAATATTTTCTTTTTTTTTCTTTCAACAATAAGGATGCTATCAATAAAAATTTTGTAATCAAGACTAAATCATTGTATGACAATTTAAAAAGCACACGACCTACATCAACGCAAGTACATTTAAAAACATATCAAATTAAAAAAAAATTATCTTTAACTAGTAGGGTATCCGAACTTAGGATAAATTATAAAAAACACCTTGTAGTTAGGTGCCAAGAACACTATGCACTTTCGCTTTCTAAAAATTACACTTTACACTCTATGATTTTAATATTTATTTTTAAAAAATACCATGTATTATAATTTCATTTTAGTGTCAAGTCTCCGGATAAAAAGAAAAAAGGTTCAAATTATTATAAATTTGCCATTGTTATTTTTAATGGCCAAAATGCCTTTTGGAAGTATTTTGGTGTTAAAAAAAGTTATTTCAAAACAACTAAATTCAACACAATATTAAAAATTTAATGTAAAATACCAAAAATTCAATTCAAAACACCCAAATCTAGTGATTAAGCATACAAAATCCAATTTCAAACATCCAAATTTAAATGAAAACGTAAGAACTCTAATTCAAAACACTTTTAACATTTCAAGCATTTCAAAACAATAAAAGATTCAATCACACAAGAAACCGAAAAGTCCCCGAATTATTCCAAATTTACTATTGTTATTTTTAATGGCTACAATGCCTTTTGGAAGTATTTTGGTCTAAAAAAAGTAATTTCAAAACAACTAAATTCAACACAATATTAAGAATTTAATGTAAAATACCAAAAAATCAATTGAGAAAACCCAAATCTAGTGATTAAGCATACAAAATCCAATTTCAAACATCCAAAATTAAATGAAAACAACAAAACTCTAATTCAAAACACTTTTAACATTTCAAGCATTTCAAAACAATAAAAGATTCAATCATACAAGAAATTGAAAACTCCCCGGGAAGTTCATAATCTATAAACACTCTATGTGCTTCATCAATCGGCTTGAAAGTTGTCTTTGCATCAACAAACAAACAAGTTATTATCACATGACGCAAGAACGTACATTTAATGTAAAATACCAAAAATTCAATTCAAAACACCCAAATCTAGTGATTAAGCATACAAAATCCAATTTCAAACATCCAAATTTAAATAAAAACGTAAGAACTCTAATTCAAAACACTTTTAACATTTCAAGCATTTCAAAACAATAAAAGATTCAATCACACAAGAAATTGAAAAGTCCCCGAATTATTCCAAATTTACTATTGTTATTTTTAATGGCCACAATGCCTTTTGGAAGTATTTTGGTCTAAAAAAAGTAATTTCAAAACAACTAAATTCAACACGGTATTAAAAATTTAATGTAAAATACCAAAAAATCAATTGAGAAAACCTAAATCTAGTGATTAAGCATACAAAATCCAATTTCAAACATCCAAAATTAAATGAAAACAACAAAACTCTAATTCAAAACACTTTTAACATTTCAAGCATTTCAAAACAATAAAAGATTCAATCATACAAGAAATTGAAAACTCCCCGGGAAGTTCATAATCTATAAGCACTCTATGTGCTTCATCAATCGACTTGAAAGTTGTCTTTGTATCAACAAACAAACAAGTTATTATCACATGACGCAAGAACGCACATTTTGTATTAATTGTTGACAATTACCTTTTTAGAAGAGCGCTCGATACTGGAGAATTTCATACCAATCCATGTTGAACTATTTAGTTTGTTTTGTGCGGAACAATGAACCTCTCGAGTCGTCAACATTTGGGAAATATTCTCTAGTTCAAGGTAGAGTTGTTGCGCCTTTGATGCAATCTTTCTTGTCCTTTTAAAGTCACCATTTTGCATTTTTCTATTTGCAATCTCCTTCGTTTTGATGGCCTCGTCCTTGTTGCATTCCATGCTTGGTTGAAATCCAAAGGCATAGAATCGGATGTACTTGCTAATGTCATACAAAAAAAAAAAAAAAAAACTAGACTATAATTTTTCTCATGTCTTTCCAACCTCTAACTATCATTTAAAATCTTCAAGCTTCATAAAACAAGCCAAACATATCTAGTCAAAATCTTCATAAATAACATGTATACTAACGACAAAAAATAATAAATCACTTAGCATTTAAAAATCCACCAAAATGCTCTTCGAATAATAATCAAACTTAAACAAAATGGTCCTTCAACATTGAAAGCACTAGAATCATAGTTTTAAATAACGGATGGGTGAAAAAATGATCGTGGCCATCATCGCGGATCACGGCTTACTATAATACTAAAATAACGAGAACGAAATACTCCGAACCCGTTATATAACACAGCGGGAGTTATTTAAAACTATGACTAAAATCCTTTTATAAATATGTACTTTTTTCTTCAAGTTAGATTTTTATATCTAAAACCTCACAATTCTCATAAACTATAAATAAAAATTCAACATCATCAATAAGAGCACCGTTATCACCATCACAACGAATGATCAAACCCTAGTTAGAATCTTACAAAAACTCATCTTTTGTGCCATTAGCAAATAAAGTCCCGAGCCATTTTGATTAAACCCTGTTTTTTTTTTTAATGAGTTTTGCTCAAAATAACAAATTAAAGCATAAATAATAAAATTCTCTTTAAAAAAAATCAACATTCAAAATTTAGGTTTTTTTCAGATTTCACATAAAAAAACCTTAAAAGTCTCCAAATTTTTAAAGTGTTTTGCTAAAAACAACCAATTAAAGGATAAAATAAGATATTTCCAAACAAAAATTAAACAATTTAAAAATTAAAGTTGTTTTTTGGATTTTCAGCTATAAATGATTCAATCACGAGGTCTAATTATATATATATGAGGGCATTGCGGTTCTTTTATAATTTATCGGACTAAAAATTCGTGATATAAATTATAATTTTTAAAAAACAAGAACAGAGAATATTGCCATCTAACTACATGATATTTTTCGTAATTTGCCATAATATATCTGCCGTGAAAATTATCTGCCCTTGCCCTGGGTACGCAGAGTGGGATGCTAGCTACTATTAGTTAGCGACACCTAACACAATCCAACATGAAGCGTGTATCGTAATGCCAATACATTAATTTTCCTTCACCAGTTACTTTTCTCTTTCTTTTTCTTTCTTCTTCAACACAAAAAATAAAGGGCAAAAAAGAAACACGAAAAAAATAGAAGATGCCCCTTTTCCCTCTTTACCTCCATTGATTCAATTTCTTTGTCTATTTCAAATCTGATTATCGGGGTTTCCATTTTTAATATCCACAGCCATGGCGTTTGCTGCAAGAAGAAGTCTGTCTCTCCGAACAATCCTCTTTTGCATTTTCTTTCTGATCGGCTTCTCATTTGCCGAGGAAGCTTCTCACGACGGCGATTCCCCAAAATTTCCTGGCTGCGATCATCCTTACAATCTGGTTCGCATTATTCATTTCCTTTTTTTCGCAGCATTTTCCGAATTCTTTGTGAGAATAATAGTCGATAGCGTAAATGACAAATGTGGTTGTGAAATTAATTTTTTGACCTAAAAAATGATTATTTTTTATTTTTATTTTATGTTTTAAAACGCTGTAGGTCAAGGTTAAGAACTGGGTTAATGGTGCTGGAGGTGAAACTTTGACTGGAATAACTGCAAGATTTGGAGCTTTTCTGCCAAAAGAGGCGAAAAATGGTGTCAGATTGACGGCTGTTTTCTCTAATCCATTAAATAGCTGTTCGCCTTCTTCTTCCAAGGTTTTTATATTGTTTTTTTGCTTGGTCTATCCGTTATTTTTCTTTTGATTAAGCTTGTGTGAGTACTTTCAATTGGGAATAGATAATGTAGTTGGTGTCACAAGGTTTTGAATTTCGGAGTTACGAGGGAGTTGTGTATTGTCATAAATTTCTAGGTTTTTGTCCATAACTTTTCTGAATTATAAGGGATAGTATGGTTATTTTTCTGTTCTTCAGCTATCTGGTTCTGTTGCCATTGCTGTGCGTGGTGAGTGTGACTTCACAACAAAGGCTAAAGTTGCACAGTCTAGAGGTGCAGCAGCTCTGTTGGTGATAAATGACAAAGAAGGTTGTAGTTTATTTAGATTGTTGAATGTGGGGGAGTTGGTCATTTATGCTTCCTTTTAAATTGATTGTAATTTTTTTTTTTTTTTTTTTGGCATCTGAATTAATTCTTTTAGAGCTTGCTGAGATGGGTTGTGAAAAGGATAGTTCTGCTCAAGATATTTCGATTCCTGTTGTACTAATTCCCAATTCAGGAGGTCAATCTCTGAACAGATCTATAATGGATGGACAGAAAGGTGAGCATTGAGTTCTTAAGCTTTGTTGAGCTTTGTCATGATTATGTTAGATGTGCTTACCTAGCAATGTCTTACACTATGAGACCTTCAAAACCAGCCAGGATGTTTTGTGCTGCATGTAGGTATGAGTTAGATAGGAAAGTGAAGTGATGGGTGAAGAACATCACTTGTCAGATTGAAAAAAATGGAAATAAGGTCATGTTTAGGCTTTTCACCAGTACTGTAATAATGTTAATTTTTTCTATATACCATGTCAATGATTATGATAAAAGCAGAATCAATAAACTGAATCAAGCATGAGAACAAATTACGTTTCAGCTGTTTTCAGCTGTTCTATGCCCTTCAAATTTGGAAAACAATATTCAGTCCCCCTTTCTCTCTCCCACCCTCGCCAAAACCCAAACCCAAACTCACACTCAACACAACCACAGCATGTGTAACACTCCTAATTGTTTATATGGATTTTCATAATACAGTGGAGCTTCTGTTCTATGCACCTGTTCGTCCTCCAGTGGATTTGTCCGTGATATTCTTATGGATGATGGCCGTTGGAACAGTTGTTTGTGCTTCACTTTGGTCTGAGATAGCTGCTTCCGAGGAGAATGAGGAGCGGTATAATGAATTGTCACCAAAGGTTAACATGCACTCTTATTTGTGTCTTCAATTTTATGCTCAAGTTGTTAGCAGCTTTGTTCCTTTTGCTTTTCTTTTCTTTTTTCCTGTCTGTGTGATGTTGAATTTTTAGCTGGGTTGACATCATTACAAAAATAGATTAAGCAAGTAAATGTCCTGTAACTGGTGTGACTTAGAAAGCCCTTGTTTATCTGTTGAGAATAAATGGTTGTGATAGACATTTTGGTGTCTATACATTCCCACCTAGAGATGTTCTTTTTATGGATTGTACAGATCAATTCATTTTAAATTCTTCTATAATCCAGGATGAATATGCATGTTGTGAATATCTGATATTACATTTTGGGAGTCTATGTTTGCCAATCAATTTTGACCTTTCTAGATTTTTGATATATTTTTCCATCATACTACTTGATACATGTGTGTGTATGTGTCTAGTATGTTCCTTTTCTTTTTCTTTTAAATTCCTCTGTTATTGCTTAATTATGCTTAGTTGAACAGTATTTGACTAGTTCCTCTTTTCATTGGGTAGGAAACTTCCAATGCCTCAGCATTCAAAGATGACGCTGAGAAAGATTTCCTTGATATTGATGTGAAGAGTGCGGTAGTTTTTGTGATAACAGCGTCCGCATTTCTGTTGCTACTCTACTTCTTCATGTCAAGCTGGTTTGTCTGGCTGCTGATTGTACTCTTCTGCATTGGTGGTATTGAGGTACAAATTTCTTTATAGGGGAATTGCTAATATTAAAATGTTGAAACAAGTACTTAGTTGTTATATTTGATGAACTCTGACTGAAAATTTCAAGAAGCTGTAATTTTTACCTTATTGTTTGGGAATGGTACATTTTTTAAAAGAGTAACGGATGGAAAGATATGATAGAGCGGATCCGGAGCTGTACTTGGTCAGTTTAGCACCTGCACATCATACATCTACTTCTCCGCTTATGGTCTAAATAAGCACAATTGCTTTTATCATTTTCTTGGCACATTTATAATGTTTCCTTTCGTTGAGATATACGCATCTTTTCTCTTTTGGGATTTTAGAAAATTCGCTGACACATGATCAATGCATGCTAGATTCTCATTTTAGGAGAAAAAACCTGCTTCATCTACCAGAACTACATTCCCAGCTTAATTATATTTGCAAGATTTTTTTGTTTTGATGTGTTTGATTTAAAGAAGTGGCCGGAAATAAGATGAGGCTCTGTCACTAACTGAGCAATGTAATTTTGGACAAGCAGGACCTTGGCTCAAGTTCTATTGAAGCCAAGAAATTCATGTGTATTTGGGTTTGCTTGATAGTTGCAAAATTGGCATGGGATCTGCCGATTGATGTTTTCTTACTGGACCAAGTTGATAACTCCCCATTGTTAAGTTTGGATTTTTGCTCTCTGAATTGGCAAGCAGACATGGTGTGACTTTTTAATATAAGCATATTGGGTAGTTTGTGAAGAAAAATGGTTTTGGCTACCATCATATTTTAATATACACAGCTGTATGTTAATAATGCTTCATAACCATCATCAGGTGCATCTTTAGGAGTTCGTTTTGGCCTTGTATTTAAAACAAATTTTTACACTCCAAGCTCTAGTTAGTCTCTTTAACAATTCTGCAACCCAAGTCATAAATGAGCTGTTGACAGATAGAAGACTGTATGTGCGCGCCTATCTTCATTTCTGCACACATGTGGCGGGATCTGTTTCCATGCCTTTTTGTTCAAGCAAGCTAAAGTAAACTAGGTTCTGACTTGTCCAAAAATGAAAAAGAACAGCAAATGGAAAAATTATGCCAAGTCCTTATCCCTAGTTTGTCTGAAGCATAAATTGCATGTAAACTCACTTAAAAACATTTATTACTTATATTTGGCAGATACACATGGAGACACTTCTTATATTTAGCAGATATGCAAATGGATTGGAGTGCTTTATTATTTTAAACTAGTTGTTTTTTTTTTTGTTATTTGAGAGGATTTTGTATTCTCCTTTTGAGTGTTCTTTTCCTTCCTTCTAGTAAAATTTCCTCTTTTTTTCTTTTTTGTACACATTTTTTTTTCATTTTAATTTTTAACGGGCAGCAAAAAGTTCTGTATCATGCTTATTGAAGTATTTTCTTTCTTCCTCAGGGGATGCACAATTGCATAACAACAGTGATTTTAAGGTATAATGATACTTAATTTCTTGCATTTCTTAACTTGTGAACTGATGGTTTTTATGGTATACTCTACATTCATGTTACTCATTTCTTATATTTTGAGCAGAAAATGCAGAAACTGTGGGCGGAAGAAACTAAATTTACCTCTTTTCGGAGAAACTTCTCTTCTCTCACTTCTTGTGTTAATTTGCTGTGTGGTATTTGCCATTTTCTGGGCTGCAAATCGGCAAGCATCATACTCATGGGTTGGACAAGATATTCTTGTAAGTTTAATTTATCAATGCATGTAGACAAGGTTAGTTTGTTGATCACTTGTTATGTTGTATGGAAATAACTTCAGCTGTTAAGTTTGACTAAGCTCATAGAAAGACTTTTAGGTTGTCTCATGCAAGTTATAACTGCACATCTAGTTGATGTACATGGTTTATCCTTTGGATTATTTATTTTATGAAATCCGCAATTAAATTTCTTTGCATAAAGCATGTGCACAAGTTTTTGTTCAGGACTATTGTTATTATGTTATGGTTTTAAATATTTCTTTCCTGATCGTTTAACCAAAATGATTTGGATTTGAGATCTTACTCTTAATTTTCACCAGGGTTGATTTAGAATCTCTTGTTGTTTTTATTTTCTGATCATTGTAAACAGATGGTATCTTGCCCAGAAACCTTGAAGCCATGATATTTTATTGTGTCTTTTGGCTGCGTTAGTTTTCTTACTACCAGCATGTGCTCAATTGCAAATAAAAGAACAAGGGCGTATACTCTTAATGCTTAGTAACTAGTGGTTTTATGCAATATATTTACATATGACTTGTTGAAGTTGTTTGTACATTGCATAGATCATTTCTATTCTCCTGCTCTTCACTAAATAGTGACTTTCTTGTTGTCAGGGCATTTGCTTGATGATAACCGTCTTGCAGGTGGCTCGATTACCTAATATTAAGGTACCTTAGCTCTTATTTTGTCATGCATTCATGAATTTTTTTTTTTTTTTTTTTGGGTTCCTATCTGATATTTCTATGGTGATTCAGGTTGCTACAGTGCTTCTTTGTTGCGCATTTGTTTACGACATCTTTTGGGTCTTTCTGTCACCAATAATTTTCCATCAGAGTGTTATGATTGCGGTAAGTATTAGTGCTGTATAACCCAACATTTCTTTCCGTCATGTTGTGCAAACACATGCTTCATTGCTTTTAGATTGAGCACGGAAACTTTACGTCATTGAAAGAGACTGATAGTTGTGGTTTTAGTGCTTAAAATTATATCTTTGATAGATATATGGAAATGTAAGCATTGGGACCAAATGTAAGGAAGTCTTTGTTTGTTGATCCAACATAAAGAAGATGGAGAGTAAAGTTCAGCTGTTGTGAATTTTTAATTCAAAGGTTAGGGATGCAAAAAGAAGGGTTGTAAGGGTGATCATTTAATGGATTGTTACTGCACTCAAGTTGCATTACACATAAAAGGAAGAAAATTTGGATAGAATGATACTTATGGAATCAAAGTCCGGTGGAATTGAGAATCAGAACTAGAAGCCTAAAGTCTTTTATGCTGATGAATTCTATGAGACTCTTTTTATGCCTGCTATGCTTAATGGGAGTGAGTGTTAGATAGTGGTAAAGCAACATGTCTATGCAGTTGATTACTAAGATGAGAACATTTAAGTGATTCAAGAAAGGACTAGATAAGAAATGAGTCCATTCGTTAAAAGTTGGAGGTGGCAATTGATCTTGTCAAGGAGGAGTTGGGGAAGGAATTTTTGACATGGTTTGATCATTTTACAATATAGCACGGAAGAGTGATTGGATTTTAGTTGAATGTATGTAAGAGAAGGAAAGATAGACCTAAAATGAGTTCATTTGAAGCGTTGAAAATTGATTAGATGTTGTTTTAGCTTGCAAAGTATTTGGCCTTAGACATGACTAAATGGATTGAGTTTTAGTTGAATTGAGTTGACTTGTGCTTTGGGGAGATGCTGAATCTTGTGTTGTCATTCTTGATTAGGCCTCTTGATATCAAAGTATTTACAGGAATCATAATCTGCTCATCATATTTTGCTCAAGCTGCAAATTTTTTAGTTCTGTTTACTGATGTATCCTGGATACTACTGATGAGGTGTTTTTTTTTTGGAGCAAATTATCAACATATATTTAGATGATTTACTGGAGACTATTATAATTACCTTTAAATTGTAACAATGCCCATTTCATGCAGTCTCCAGTGATCAAATAATACTCTAGTAAAAAATGAGCTCTTTGTGCCTCTTATAACTGAGTATATATTAGGCTGATGTATAGTATTTTCTAAGTACTTGCTGCAGCTAGTTATTGTTGTGTATGTGGATTAACATCTTGGCAATGAGGCAAGTTTATTTGGTGAATTCATAAGCTAACAATTTCTACAGAGGTATTTGTCCTTGGAAAGCACAACCTATTTGTATCTTCTTTTGTCACCCCTACATTTGGCTTTGTGAATTGATATGAAGAAGGAAATATTGATTGTGTTGCTGTACCTCTACTGGTATTACAACTTACATATATATAGCTACATATAGCATCTAAACTAGGAAATTAAAGCTATAAATCTTCCTATACTCCTTGATTAGAGCCTTAAATTCCTATATTTACATCCTAAAATACACCCAGAATATTCTAAATAGAATATTTCCTATTCCAACACTCCCCCTCAAGCTGGCTTGTAAATGTCTTTCATTGCCAGTTTGCTTACCAGAAAATCAAATTGTTTTTTCAGTAGACCTTTGGTGAGTATATCAGCCATTTGTTGAGAAGTAGGAATATAAGGAACGCAAATTAGCCCACTTTCAAGTTTCTCCTTGATAAAGTGCCTATCAACTTCAATATGTTTAGTCCGATCATGAAGAATCGGATTATGAGCAATTGAAATGGCAGCTTTGTTATCGCAATAAATTTTCATAGGAAGTGATGCAGGAAGCTTCAAATCTTCAAGCAATTTCTTAATCCACATAGCTTCACAAATCCCTTGTGCAAGGGATCTAAATTCTGCTTCAGCACTACTTCGTGCCACAACATTTTGCTTCTTGCTTCTCTAAGTAACTAAATTTCCTCCCACAGAAGTACAATATCTAGATGTTGATCGCCTGTCTGTCACACTACCAGCCTAGTCAGCATCAGTATAGACTTCCACCTGAAAGTGATCACGTTTTTTAAATATCAAACCCTTTCCTGGAGTCCCTTTTAGGTAATTTAGTATCCTATAGGCAACTTCAAAATGCTCATGGCCCGGTGCATGCATGAATTGGCTTGTCATGCTTATAGCAGATGCTATATCAGGGCGAGTGTGTGACAGACATATAAGTCTGCCCACCAAGCACTGAAATTTCTCGTTTTCAATAACACCCTCGATTTTAGCAGGATTTAGTTTGAGATTTACCTTAATTGCAGTCTCAACAGTCTTGCAACCTAGAAGACGGGTTTCATTAAGTAAATCAAGGACATATTTTCTTTGATTTACAAAGATTCCTTCACGCGATCATGCAAATTCCATGCCAAGAAAATATTTCAATGTCCCTAGGTCTTTAATCTCATAGTCTTCAGCTAGTCTCTTTTTCAATCTTTCTAATTCATCAAGATCATCACCTGTTAGTATCATGTCATCAACATATACAATGAGGATTGCTATCTTCTCTTTATCAGTGTGTTTATAAAAAAGAGTATGATCTGCTTGACTTTGATGATACCCATAGCCTTTTAAAGTCTTCCCAAATCGTTCAAACCATGCCCTTGGAGACTGATTGAGGCCATACAATGACTTCTTAAGTTTGCAAACTTTGTTTCGACCAACAAACTTTTCAAAACCAGGAGGTGGACTCATAAAGACTTTCTCTTCCAAATCACCATTCAAGAAAGCATTTTTCACATCTAGTTGGTATAAGACCCAATTGAAATTAACTGCAAGAGACAATAAAACACATATAGAGTTAATTTTTGCTACTGGGGCAAAGGTCTCCTGATAATTAACACCATATGTTTGAGTAAATCCTTTAGCCACAAGTCTAGCCTTGTATCTCTCTACACTACCATCTGCCTTGCATTTCACAGTAAATACTCATTTACACACAATTGTTTTCTAACCTCTAGGCAGCTCTACAATTTCTCATGTTCCATTTTTCTTTAGTGTATTTATTTCCTCCATCACAGCCGTTCTGAATTTGGATCATCAAGTGCTTCCTGACTGTTTCTTGGAACAAACAGGTTAGAGATTTTTGAAGTAAATGCCTTATGGTTTTGAGAGAGACGGTCATAAGACAGATATTTTGCAATGGTTTTGAGAGAGACGGTCATAAGACAGATATTTTGCAATTGGATGATTAGTGCAAGAACGAGTTCTTTTTTTCTAAGTGCAATAGGAACATCAAGATCACAATGCTCATGAGAAACAACATTGGGTAAAACAGAAGGTGAAACAGCATTGGGTAAAATAGGAGGTGAAATAGGAGGATTAGTATTTTGAGAAATGTTTTGAGTACCTGAATCCGAGGTAATGGATTGACTAGGTGCTGAAGGAACGATAGGTTCTTTACCCTTTTGATGTTTCTTTTTTCGTGCATAAACAATGACCTCAGGTTCCTGATCCTTAGGATTATTTTGCATTATTTCTCTCCCTGTCAAAGATTCAACAATATCTGGCAAAACAGTATTCTTATCAGTAGAAATTGTTGTCATTTTCGAAAATATTAGGTGTAAAGGCCACTGTTTGAGGTAAAGTAGTAAAAATAGGTATGTTGTCCCAATTATTTTCTTCCTTTAAACTCTCCCCCTTAAGAAAATTCTTTTGAAAATAATGCTGATTTTCAAGAAATAAAACATCCATAGTAACTAGGACTTTTTGGGTCTTTGGATGAAAACACTTGTACTCTTTTTGATTTGACGCATAGCCAATAAAAACATATTTTTCAGCCCTTGGAAAAATGAACGTAAGTTGTGTATCCAAATATTTTAAGGGGTAAATTGGATGAAATTTGGTTTTCGGGAAAGAAATCTTTAAAGCACTCAAGAGGAGTAATGAATTTAAGTACACGAGTAGGCATTCTGTTTATCAAATATGTTTTCGTTAAAACTGCTTCTCCCTAGAGATACTTAGGGATATGCATAGAAAACATAAGAGACTGGGCAATTTCCAATAAGTGTCTATTTTTTCGCCCAGCTATACCATTTTGCTGAGGTGTATCAACACAAGTGGATTGATGATGAATGCCCTTATCTTTAAAAAAATTTCTAAGAATTTCATTGAAATACTTAGTGCCATTATCAGTATGAAAAATACCAATTTTATTTTAAAATTGAGGTTCAATCATGTTATAAATATTTTGGAACACTTGTCTTAACTTTAGATTTATCAGCCAGTAAATATACCCAACACAATCTAGTATGATCATCATCGAAGGTTACAAACCATTTTTTGCCTGAATAAGTAGGGATTCATGAAGGACCCCATACCTCGCTATGAATTAAATAAAATGGTCGTGAAGGTTGATAAGGTTTTGAAGGATAAATATTTTTATGGCTTTTTGACAAAATGCAATGTTCACAGTGAAAAAGAGAATTATCCAGGCCCTTAAATAAGGTAGGAAACAATTTTTTAAGATAAAGAAAATTAGGATGCCCTAGTCTATAGTGCTAGAGCATTATTTTATTTTTACCAGGGATAGAACTGATACTACTTTGTCCTTGAGGTCTTCTATCCTTGGAGACTTCATCTTCAAAATAGTAAAGACCATCGATCATTCTAGCACTGTCAATCTTTTTCCTTGAATTCTGATCTTGAAACACACAATAGGAATCAAAGAAAGTGACACTACAATTAGAATCTTTTGATAATTTGCTGACAGACAGAAAATTGCATACAAGTTTTGGTACATGCAGAATAGATTTAAGGGATAAAGTATCTGACAAAATAATCAAACCTTTGCCAGCAATAGATGAGTAGGACCCATCTGCTATATGAATTTTTTCATGACCCGAACAAGGAAAATAAGTATGAAACAAATTTGAAAAACTTGTCATATGGTCAGATGCTCTAGAATCAATGATCCATGGAGCGATTGTGATAAAGAGTAACACACTTAAGGCATTTAAATCACTACCTGTTTGTGCCAAAGAAGCATCAGGAATACTAGATAATCCAGAATTGGATTTGAGCATGAAGTTCTTTACATCCCAAATTGGATAGGTCGGATCATCCAAGTTTGGCTCATTCTTCTCACCAGTTGAATACCCAATCTTTTCCTTGTCGCGGATGTACATGTGCACAAATTGAGACCAGCACAAGGAATCTTTGGTTTTGTAAGAAGTAGATGGATGAACAAGAGTAGGTGTAGAATCCGATGTAATTTCGGACATGGTGGTGAGGAAGAAAATAAATTAGTGATTGACGGCTAGGGTTTTTTGTTTAGAGAAAATAGACCAGCTTTGATACCATGTGAATTGATATGAAACAAGAAATATTGATTGTATTGCCGTACCTCTATTGGTATTACAACTTACATATATAGATGCTACATATAGCATCTAAACTAGGAAATTACAAACTAGGAAATTAAAGCTATAAATTTTCCTAAACTCCTTGATTAGAGCCTTAAATTCTTATATTTACATCCTAAAATACATCCAGAATAATCTAAATAGAATATTTCCTATTCCAACAGGCTTTTATTTTTTATTTTTTTTTGGCTATTTTTGCAGTTCGCCTTTCTTAGAACTCAGTTGAGAATTTGCCACTCCTCTCCCTTCTTTTCTTCAAATTCTTCATGTAGTTGTCATAAATTTACACACTTTTGCATCCATTCATCTACCATTGCTTCCTGTTTCTTGGAGTTGCCTGTGTCTTAATGGCTCAGCAAAGCGAAAAAGAGACTGTTGTTGCCTTGTGTATTGTATTTTCTTCTGCTCAGCTTTTGCCATTGATTAATAGATTTTTCAATTTCTCATACTGCTGCTTTTTCATCCATTACACGTGAAAGGGCCATGGTCCTACCTGTCAGTACAGCATCTAATGTGACTTACTATAGAGAAGTTAAGAGTGAAAAATGAAGACCAACATCTTTGATACACGAAAACATCTATAAAAGAAGCCCTTCTGATTCTGTAAACATATCACTAATGATATTACTGTTCTGTGCCATTTTCTTTAGTTAAAATTTTGTTCATTGATTTGAATACATCTTCTTCCACATTATAAGTGTTTGGAGAACTTGAGATGGGACATAAATGGGTGGATTTGTTAGAATTTATAACTGGACTAATTCTGTATCGAGTTCTCTTCTCTTTCTTTAGGTTGCTCGAGGTGACAACAGTGGTGGGGAAACTATTCCGATGCTTTTAAGAATCCCTCGATTTGCTGACCCTTGGGGTGGTTATGACATGATTGGATTTGGTGACATTCTTTTTCCTGGCTTGCTTGTATCATTTACTTTCAGGTAGTTTGCTAACTTCACATTAGCTTATAAATAGTGCATTAGGCACAGAATGATTGCAGATAAATTTACAGTGGTGAAAGGTGTGCAATCCTCTCATAAAATGACAGGATAAATTTATTAGACTTCTATAGGAAATCATTTTTTTTCATCTTCAATAAATAATGTGTTAAATTCTATCCAATTCTTCTAATTTCTCTATCTGTCGATTCCTTTCAAAAATTTCATCTTTATGCTGAAAGAGATTGATTTTTGAAAAGTAGACTCCAAGTTAAGAAAAGGCCTTCTGTTGTCGTCATTCAATGTCTTCTAGATCTTGGGTCATGCAGAGGTTGCAAAAAAGAATCTTTTGTGTATAGAGATTAATGTTTTTGTTATGGACTTTCTCTATGGCAATTTCTCATTTTTCTCCCTTATGTTGCATGTTTTTTCTGTTGGTTGTCTCAGATATGACAAAGTTAACAAGAAGGGTATAGCAAATGGATATTTTCTTTGGTTGACAGTTGGCTATGGAGTAGGTGAGCATTCTTGCAGAATGTTGCATTTTCTTAATTCTGTTGCTCTTCTATCAGACAAATTCTTCTCCATGCTTTGTTATTTTGGTTAATGAATATGCTAAACAGCAGGATAAACGTCCCCCCTATATTTTTCTTATCCCAGGACCAAATTAGGCTTAAATTAGATGTTTTTTAGGATGGCACCAAGTGACTTATTAGCCAAGCTAGTTGGCATCTTGGTGTAAATGTTTTAAATTTACCAAATTGATAGTTAGTCGAAAAACACCACATGTTACCATATTTTGTTGCCAGAATATTCTGTTACTTCTGAGTAGTTCAAATTCAGATTTCAGTCCTTTGTCCAAATCAGGTATTTCCACCAATGTCAAGCACCTGAAGTTTTTGATATTTAAGTACTGACATAAGGAGTGTTTTCCTTACTTGCAACTGCTTGTGGAACTTCTTTCTATCATCAAGCATTGGCTTTAGAAAGTTTACCACTAAATTCCATAAACCTGCGAACAATATTGTAATTATTCTGTTATTTTTGTATAGAATTCAAGTTACGTTTATTTGATTCAGTTTGTGTAGCTTACCTAGTAAGTAAAATCACAAGAAAAAAGAAAAAAAAGGGCCTTATATTGATAGGCAATATATATAAAATTACAGAGACCAAACCTCCATTTACATAAACCCATTTTTGAATCCAAAATGCCTTAATTATTATCCAAAAATATAGTAATTAAATTAAAAAGTTAGAGAAGAGTATATACAATTTATATTATTTTTAGTTTATTGTAGGATATGATATATTTTTTTAAGTCAATAATTTCTTCTATAAATATTTAATTATGTTGAATAGATATGTTTAGGTGGGTAAATGTGTGAAAATGTTTGTGAATAAAGTTTTATTCGGTATTTGGATTCATAAATTGATTCAATATATAACGATACAGTTTATATTATTATTTTATTCAAAAATTGAGAATTACTTGGTGAAGGTTATCATCCCAAACTATCTGATTTGGCTTGGAGAAATGGGGTCCTGTTGGAGACAAGACTCATGTATCCACGAGAGTGATGGGAACCTATGGATATTGTGCCCTCAAAGTGTAGAATTGGGAGGTGGTCATTGGTGGTTGGGGTTGTTATGATATTTGTCTCCTTCGTGACACTGATTTTCCTATTTCAGGTCTTTTCCTCACTTACCTGGGCTTATATCTAATGAATGGGCACGGTCAACCTGCGCTCCTCTACCTTGTTCCTTGTACTCTAGGTAATTGGATGATCACATTTTCATTCTGGGCAGATGTATTGTGGGTTGCTATTGCAAAATAACCTTCTTTGTCATCAGGAACTTGTATCCTATTGGCTTTAGTGCGAGGAGACCTGAAAGACATCTGGAATTATAGTTCCGAAGAAGCTTCATCAAGGGATTCTTCTGGCCAGGCTTGAAGCGGTAGATCGGTTATTTGTTCAAAAAGCCAAATGCAAGGGAAATTACTCTTAAAAACACCTGAATTGTACCGTAAAGTGGTTGACTTCATATCAGTTTTTTGTTAATAGCAACCTCGGATCAATACGGTGCAATGGATACACTGGTACAAGGGGGCTGAACTTCTAACTTCATTTCTCCTCGACATATTCCAATGTAATTAATTATTGTGTATGTTCTTCTACATTTGTTGCCAGCCTTGATTTAATGTGATATGTATGATAAAGAAAATCATAAATTAATTTGTTTGCTGGAGTCTTATTCCTGTATGTTGCATACACCACTGCTGTACTTTGGAAGAAATATGTAAACTAAACGGTCAACTGTTTATGTATCTTAATGGAGGACGGAATTCAGACATCAGGATGATTCTTCCTACACCATGAGGATAATTAGGGGAACCTGGCTAGAAATATCCATGTCACTACAAAAATCAATTAAATTAGTGATGGTCTAGACTGTCGTTAAATGTGAAAAAACCATCGGAAAGATGATTTAGCGATGGTCAAAAGCTTGTCGTTAAAATGTTCATCGTTAAATTTTTACAACGGTTTTAGGATCATTGCAAATTTAGTGACGGACAAAATCATTGTAAAAAAAAAAAAAAACTATTGTTAAATATGATAGTAAATTGTTGGAATATTTGCGACGATCTATTAAATCCTCGATAAGTCCGTTGTTAAATAGTGACGGACTTTGTGACGGTCCAGTGACTATTTCAAATTAGTGTCGCTAATTGTTTAATTATAATTTTTTTTATGCCTAATAAAATTAGCTAAAATTAACAAATTTTAAATTAAAAAATCTACTAAAATATCTTAAATATAATATTTTAAAATTTCAAATGTATTATTATAAATTGTATTAAAACATCGCTAAATATTATTCAATTATTAAATTAATGAAAACAGCACAAAGTTTGCGGTTATTAAAAGAAAACATGCAATAAACAATAACACTAAATATTATTCAATTATTAACTTAATGAACAACTAAATAAACTTAATCACTTGTTAATTTTTTAAATCACTTAATCACAATAAGTTAACTAAATTAGCAATTATCAATAACACTAATAACAATAATAATTAAATTAACAATATAAAATAATAACAATTAAATTTTCTAACTAAAACAATTAACAATTAAACTAAGTAAATTCACAATTAAAAATAAAATTAGTTCAATCAACAATTAAAAATAACAATAACAATAAAATTAATAATTAACAATAATATTAAATACATCAATAACTAACAATAACATTAACAATTACTATTAAATTAACAATTAAACATTTAAATTAACTATCACAATTAACACAATTTAATACCAATAATTTTTTTTAACAAATAAACTATCTAAATTAACACATTACAATAATATTAATTAAATCATCAATTAATAAAAAAACAAAACATGCGATAAACAATTATAATTAATTAAACTAACAAATTAAAAATATTAAATTAAATTATATTAATTAACTAAATAATTGAAAAAATTCAAAAATAAAATGAAGGGTTAAATGGGGGGGACCTTTCACCAAGAGAAGGAGGAGAGGGGTCGAGCCGGTGGAAGCCTTCGCTAGAGATGTTTGGTCGAAAAACGACCGAGTGGAGAGATGGAGAGAAAGAAAGAAAGGAGGAGGAAAAGAGGGAAGGAAGGGGATTTTTGAAGGGGAGAAATGGTAAGAGGAAAGTGAGGAGAAGATTGGAAAGAAAAAATGGCAAAGGAGGCGGATCCGAGGTGTCTTGCGGAGGAGAATAAGAGAGGTGGAGAGAGAAAATTGAAACTCGTCAATTTTCGAGAGAGAGGAGCGAGTTTTAAAAGATAAAGGTTTAGCGACGGAAGGTAGACCGTCGCTAAAAGTGTTTTTTAAAAAAAATAATTTTGAAAATTAGTTGTTTCCCACCAACGGTTTGATTTTAGTAACGGATTACGAGACCGTCGCTAAATTGATTTTTTACAACGGTTATTTTTGAAAAAAACCATTGCAAAAGTTGGTTTTAATATTATTTGTTTTTCTATTATTTTTTTTAGCAAGGGTTTAGCGACGGTCTATAGACCTTGCTACACCAAGTTATTTTGCAACGGTTTTTTATTAAAAAATCGTTACTAATCGTAATTTTTTTTTCAATTCTTCTAATTTTAGAAATGGTTTAGCGACGGTTTAAACCGAATTTTTTTACAACGATTTATTATTAAAAACTATTGCTAATCTTTTTTTTTTTTTTTTTAGAAGCGGTTTAGCAACGGTCCTTTGCCCGTCGCTAAATCAAATTTTTTGCAACAATTTTTTTAATAAAAAGCTGTTGCTAATCATCTCTTTTTTTTTTAGGTTTTGTCGTCTTAGTAATGGTTTAGCGATGGTTCATAGACTGTCACTAAACTTGCAACGGTTTTTCTCACAAAAATGGTCCGCATATAAGGAAAAAATTAAACCCGTGAAGTTAGCAACGATTTGGTTAGACCGTCGCAAAAAAATAGTCAAAAATAAGAATTTTAGTAACCGTTTTTTGGAACATCGCTAAATCGCTTAAAACCGTTGTAAATTTTTAAAATTAGCAACGATTTTTTTACCGTTGCTAAATTTACGTCGTAAATCTATCTTTTTGTTGTAGTGTATTGAGAATATTGCAATTTTTTTCTATTATGGTGTATCTTTTAACGGATCATATTTAAATTGAATCCTAGGAGATTTGGATTTAATTTATTTAGTAAACAAATAGAATTGGATTTTATGAATTCAACTTAGGTTTTTAATTGTCAATCTAGATTTGAATTCTAATGGGTTTGGGTTGGATTCGGATATTTATTAATTTATTATTTTTTTTTTAAAAAAAGAAGCAAAATGAGTTTTAAGTTCTGCATGTATAAAAAAAATATTATAATAACATTTAATATGTCAATTTAAAAAATATATATTTTTACCATTAAAAATAACAAAATTAAACAATTTTAATAAAAAATTATATTAAAGGTTAGGCAAAAAGTGTGACAAAACTTAAAAAAAATAATAAAGATGCATATTCTAGTGGATAAATTAGAAACATAAGTATAATAATAGCAACGATTAATTAATTATTTTTTTATGTTTTTATAAGATTTTTCATGAAATTCATTTGAGACCTGAAAAATAATAAAAATAAAATAAAATAAAATAATCATTTGATTGTTGAAAAGAATATATATATATATATATATATAATGCTATATAACAATTGGAGTAAGTAAACCCTAAATTTAAACCTTGTACCATATTTTTTTCTTTTTTTATATATATATTATATTTACTAGAAATAATATTAATATAAATTTTAGATTGGATTATTATTGGATAGGATTGAGATATAAATTTATATTTTATTTATTTAATAAATAAATTAATAAATTCAGATTATAATTAGATTCAACCCATAAAAATTATTTATCAAATTTATTTAACTACACATGATGAGTTGAATTGATTTCGGATTGAGATCCGTTGCCATTTCTATTTACACATGATCAGTGACTCCCCGCTTTTTGTAGGGTATTAAAAACCTACGTTCGCTAAAAATAATAAACTAAAAAAAAAAATAACCATTTAAATTGAGACAATTTTAAAGCTCGCTAGCTCTTGAATTTTTGCTTTTTTTTTCCACCTTACTTGCAGGAGTATTGGGCATACTTTCAAATCATTTTCCTTGCGTATGTTCAATCTTTTAGTCGCAGGGGATCGATTACCAACCTTGATTTCACAATAACCTTGTATATATGCAATTATTATTATTATTTTTCCCACTAATAGATCCCTTTGTACATCTTGCCGATTACAATGACCATGCATGACAAGGTAGTGGGACTTCCATGGGATACTCAGCACGAACCAGTGGATAACAGTCACACAAATTTTTACGATTGCATTGTTTAACTTAATTAATACACATTCATCAACTAACAAAGAGTACCTCACAACAAGGAACATCAAATCACAATCAGAAATAGGGATAATTTAGTACTTAGCCAGCTTCAAAAGCGCTGATCAAGAGGAGCGTCAGAAGTTCTGCTAATTTATTGTACTCTTCCTCAATCTGTGTTCTTTTCTTTTGGAAGACGTTTAACACATGATATATAGAGGAAAACCTGGGATTGATTACGATTAATTGGTAGTCTAGCAGTTGGCAGGGTGAGGAAGCTTGCACTTGCCAGGGAGCTGCATGGCAAGGTTTGGGTCGATTCCAAGGGAAGGGAGGAGGTTGGAATTCTTGTAGGAGCAAAGGCAGCTTATGTCAGCATGAGAAAGTGCCGAGCAGCAGGCCGCTGTGGGTGCAGCTGGCTTAGGAGGAGTCACGGAAGGCTTGCATGCCATTAGGCCAGCAACAGGCATTTTGCATATGGTTTGGGCATTCCCAATATTGCTTGCTATGGCCACTGCAAGCAAAAGGGCCACAATAAAGAGCTTTTGGACTCTCTCCATTTCTTGGAACACACACTAGGCAGAGGGGCAGATCGTTCTTATTAATTGTTTATATGCTTTTGTGGTTTCTTGGGGTGGTTTGGTTCGCTTATATATAGGCAACGAAGAAGGACGGGACAAGGATAGGAAATAAGGGTAGCCCGTGAGTTTAACTTGTCAGGTTTCACTTATCCATCAAGCAATAGTCTGAAGTGAACTGTGGTGTCACGGAGTGTGAAGTTGCGGTGGAGAAATGTTTGTTTGATCTATGCGTGTCTGCCTGGATATGAGGATATATGTATATGCTTGGGCCCATCCTGAATATAGCAATATTTTTATTGGCGTGGTAGTTAAAGGGCAAGCAAAAATGATCAACGTATATGCTTGGGCCCATCCTAAATATACTATACAGTATTGGTGTGGTAATTAAAAGGCAAGCAAAAATTACCAGTTGATTGCAAATTCGAATTTCATTATTTTTGTTTTTTTAATTAATTAAGTATAAAATAATGTGGATATATATAGATTTTAAACTTAAAGAATTTTTATATAAAAAATATTTTAAAAAATAATATAAAATCATTCATATAAACTCAACTAACAGTTTAAGTATTTATATTAAAATGGATGTTCACAAATTAAAGGGTAATCAAATTAATTAACCATGCATACATGCATGTATAGCTTTTCCAGGTAGAGCTAAAACAACAATTCTTCTCAAGTGCTACGTACTCTTAAGAGATCGAGAGGTAAAAAGCCTCGAGTTCTAATGCTACCTTATCAACAAAAAAGCACAACACTTGTCTCTTAATTTTTTCTTTTGGATACTTAGGGGACAAGTAATGATAAATCTAATTAATACTTGAAGGATAAGCAATGATATACATGCAGTTATCGATCCACTATTCCTCTAGGTGTGATGTTCTATTTTGTAGATCGATCTTGTTTGCAACTTTAACAGTTGAGAACCAAGGGCAGTGGGGAAGGAAGACCTTTCTTCTTTAAGTTTAGTTTTATGGAAATATTAAATCAATATATGGCATTTTTACAGAGGCAAAATGCCTTTTCGATACAATTTCCTTTGTTTTTGAACGAGTTTTTATTTTTTGAAATAGTTGTATTATTTCTGAAACAGTTTAATCGGAATTCAGATGTTAAATTTAGGCAGCCTTGAATCATGATTAGATTTCATAAATAGTCAATTAAACTAAAACTATATACGGTTACATATACTGATACTTACTGTATGTATATATAGCGGAGCCTTCTCTTTTGGAAAAACAAAATATGCACCCTCCCTATAAGGTTTTGCACATACAAAACCTTGAAGGCAATGAAAAAAAGAGTGATGATGCTCAAATGTCCAAATAGCGTGTTTGTCTATATATACATATAACAGGTTGGACGGATTGGATCTTACAAAAAAGAAAAAAATTGTCATTCTAGCTTAAAAAGTTAACCCAACTTATTTATAAGGTTAGATGTAATTTAACGCGAATTTAATCTAAAAATAATAAATTTAGTTTCAATTCATACAAAAACTCACTTGAATATATATATATATATATAACCAACATATTATCATGTATTTTCAATCAACAAAATCCAAAGTGATTATTATTATTTTTATGAACAAACCTATAAAGAGTTGCTAAGTGTAATGCAATAAGCCAATACCAACACTACACAAACCCGAAAAAGGGTGAAGCGGGAGGTTCTTGACCTTTGTTGATGGGTGAAGAATAATGAGTGGAAGAATTAAGGAAGTGATGAGAACTAAAAAGGAGAGAGTTGGGCTACAAAGGTTTATCTCTTAAGATTACATGCTCATATTTTTTTTACTTTAATCTTGTCTTGGACTTGGTAAATTGGGTTGAATGGGTAGAAGGAACGGTTCTACTGTAGAGATGCAAAAAATGAGATGATAGAATGAAAATTAAAGTGTCTACGTAATTGATGTATTTATTTAGTGGATTATGTCATGCTAGGACGTCTTGACTAGAGATTTTAAATGTCATGTAAAATACATACATGCCTTATAATGTATATATTATGCGTGATAATTAATACATCTCGGATCGGGTTTTGTGGGTTGGACATAATCAGACCCGTATCCAAAAAATTTTGATTTTGATTTTTAACTTTTTTAATATGTTTTTATTTAAAAACTACCATCAATCTGTTGAAGTCGGATTACTTTGGGTAAGATGTTAAAAATATATCGAATCTTTTAATTTCTTTGCGTAGCCCTACTATCCGTCAATGATTAAGCTACGTACCTAATGGTTGGGATCCACAAAAATATGGTGTGATGTAAGGAAGAATAAAAATGGAAGACGTCGTAGGTCAAAATGCATGCTTCTGCAAAAGACCACAGAACCCCTCAGAAAGCTCAAAAACCCCTCTGAATAATAATAATAATAATAATAAATCCTGAGGATTCTTACCTCCTTGATCAACAAGGTTCAGTTATCTGTCCTTTTAGAGTTTACGACCAGAAATAATTCTAGCAAGTGCTAGAAATCCAAAAAACGTGTAAATTACGCAGCAAGCTTGATGTGGAAAAAGTTCCAAATGGTCACGTGGCAGCACTAGACCACAGCACGTGGCAAGAAATTAACACCCCCCTTTGAAAAAAATAAAAAAGGGGGTGGATTTTTATTTTTATTTTTTTGACTTTTTTTCCTTTAATCCAAATCATTTATTTTTCATACTTTGGAAAGCACTTATTTTTATTAAAATCGTTTAATTGACAATTCAACTATGATAAAATTGGATCACACTTATAAGAGAAATAATTTTTTAAAGTTTTAATTCAAATCTCTTAGATTGAATGTTTTTTTTTTTTTTTCAAATAGTTGAATCACATGGTGCGATGTAAAAAGCAATCAAGAGATATGAACTTTTGTCAAGGCAAAGTTGGAGGCATAAAATCATTTATTTATATATTAATTGGCAAGGAAATGCGTTACAGCTTGTTAGAGACTTAGTTAGACTAACAAGAATCATAAATGTCCATAAATAAGTGTAGATAATCCAAAGATATTACTTCATGAGTTGACATGCAAATGAGAAGAAACTTAGTAATTACTTACGACACGTACTGATCATTAGCCTTCCCATTAGCTGACAATAATGATCAAAGCCCATCTTGCTCTTCTCTAAGTAAATTTCCATGATTTGTCTACATCTACATCTACGTCCACTTTTGTTTTTATTTTTTTATATAAAATTATAATTAATTAGCATTAATTTTATAAGCCACAAATCCGAACTTTATAAATCTCTAGGAAATTTAGAGTTAGCATGTCATGGCAAACCATAAGACCTATAGTCATTCTCCTATTAAATATCAAGGGAAATGATAGGTAGGTCCACCATGTGCAACTTGCTATTCGGATGCTTATAAAAGGCAAACATTCTTTTGATTATTTCAAAATTGGCAAATATATTGGAATCGCTTTTGAATTTTGTTAAAAAATAACATGCTACCAAGCCCCACAGAAACGAGACTTGTATATTAGCCTAACTATTTATTTTGCAAGGAGGACCTGATCATAGTATTATGATCATGAATGTATATTATATTCTTTTATATGATTCTCTAAAAAAATTATTTTATTTGATTAATCATGAAAAGAATGCATATTTGCAAAAAATAATACCGTTTTTCCCACCTGTTATGTAAATAGGTTTAAATTAATAAATTAAAAAAAAAACAATTTAAATACATATCTTTGCCGAAGTAGGAACACCTTCTTTTAGACGTGGAGTTCTAGTTTAATCATGATAACCAACACATGTAACACAAATAAAATTCTGATAATAAAAAAGGCACATATTTTTTTTTTGTTTAAGGTAACGTGAGAAATCTCCTTAATTTTATTCTTGGTGCATTTATAAAATAATGTATTATAAAATAATAAAGAATTAAGTTGTTATTAAATTCTGTTTAATTATTTAATTTAAATTTAATGATCACGACAAAACAAAACATGGGAGGATCCCAACTTCAAAAAAAAGTCTTATGAGTTTCGTGCTTTCTATAACATGTGTGTGTTTATATAACAAGAACATTAACAAATTTACTAAATTTATCTTATTAATTGATATGATATATGTAATAATGTATTATAAAATAATAAGAAATTAAATTGTTATTATTTTCATCACGTACTAAATTATGCTTATTTAATTTAAAATCAATAATTTAGATTTAATGATCATGATAAAAGAAAACATGGGAGGATCCCAATTTTTTTTTTTTTAAAAAAATCTTATAAGTTTTATGCTTTCTATAATGTGTGTGTTTACATAAAAGGAATATTAAACAATTAATCTTATTAATGGATATGGCATATTTATTTATTACTAACTTAATTTCAAAGATTTCAAGAATTTCATTTTATTGTCATCTAGCTATATATATCACCGTGATTTTAAATTATTTTTTTCTGCATGATGAACGTATGTCTATAAATAATTGCTAAGATTCTAGCTAGCATTACTTAATTATATGTATATAATGCTTGTCTGATTATAATTTTAAAGAAGATTTACTTTGAAAATTGATAAAGAGAGTGACAAATATTCACAATCCTAGCTAGTTTTAGTCTCTCTCTCTCTCTATATATAGCTAGCATTATTTAATTATATGTATATAATGTTTGTCTGACTATAATTTGAAGGAAGATTAATTAAATTGAAAATTGATCACGAGGGTGACAAATATTCACAATCCTAGCTACTGTATATATATATATATATATATATATATATATATATATATATATATATATATATATATAAAATAAAAAAGAAGCTGTAATATCCATGTCGGTATAATTAACGAGATTCATAAATAAAAAAAGGTTTACATTATCTTGGTGCATGGTTGATGGTTTTGGCAGGAAGTTTAATTCTTAATTGGCAATGAAAGAGCCTCCTTAACTATCAATTAAATATTAAATTTGGAGAACTGATGTAATCAAAACGGTTGGATGGTTGTTAAATCCACAACTCCCTTTCTCTGCCGGCGATTAAGGTCTTAATATTTAATATCAATTAAATATTATTTTCTAACTTATATATATATATATATATATATATATATATATATATATATTAATTTGAAACTCGTAGGAATTCACTATTTTCTTTTCTTGCACTTAGTTGTTTTATTTTCATAAGAAAAGAAAATAAGAGTAGCAAGATTCAAACATTACTATTTTATTTTTAAATATTTATTTTTTAGAAGATGTTGTGATTATTTGGTCAAAAAAAACTTGTGATATCATATAAAAAATTATTTCAATCTAGAAGATTAAACTATGAGACTTTAAAATATAATTTATATTATCCTTTAATATTTTTTATTTTCAAATCTCATATACCACCCTTTTCAAAGATTGAAATGGAGATCTTATCATTAAAATCTCAAATTATATCAAATCGTAACTGTTTGACACACACCTTAATTCATGATTATATGTTGAAGTTGAAAATATTGCAAAATATAGTAATGTTGAAATGATACACAACAGGATGAATGCAGATGTTTCCCTTTTAGTTTCTTTAATTACTATTCACTTTTTTGGATGGTGAGGAACTCCTTGCTAGTAAATCGCAGCCCCCCAACCACACAATCTTAATGAATGAATTATCTAGGTTTTAGTCCAGTAAATAGTTCAAACCATCTATGTATTAAACGTTACAGGATGTACGTGCTCCCGACTGTAAATATTTTATATCGAAATATAGCTATAATTTTTAATCAATCAGAATTCGTAATACATATTCTTGCAGCTGAAAATGTGTACATAAATATGTATATATGTGTGTGTTTACCATGAAATTCTTGTAATCACCTAATCTGTCTGATCTTAAACCGTATTAGCTTTTAGAAATAAAACTTCCACTCATCAGATCATCTAATATCATTGACGTGCAAGCCATGGAAAATTATTACAGAATATTCTAAAACAGTGAAGATGCAGTATGTGCTTGTGAGTTATTGCAGAAAAAAGAGAGACGAAAGTGTACAAAGAAAAATAAAAGATATCATGTCTATCAGATCATATATTCATGTACGACAAACAAAAATTAACCATTTGGTGTGATTGATCCCTGATCTGACTTATAACTGCAGATATATATATTACTGTATTAAATCTACACAAATATTCATAAGATCTACGAGAAAATTTACCTGTTTACAAACTCATCTGGATCCTTTCCTTGTGTATACATGCAGAACATGACATGGAAGTTTTATTCTTCATAATATTTACATAATTTTGATATATATGTAAAAACAATAAGTTTTAATTACAATGCATGCAATTCATCATCCGATCATCAATTAGAGTAGTAATCGGCTATACTTTGCATCACCTTAACCTGAGTGTCAAGGCATTTGATGTAATGTGCAGTTTCTTCCAACAAGCTGCAAATATCCATGGAATCTCCTCCAGGAACAAGCTTCCGAAGACTATCAGCACGACTTGGCGGCTCTCTTGAAATTATCTGCATCTTATTTCTCGTTATCCTCTTGTTCTTATTCTCCTTTGTAACCAAGCATCTCTTGCTCGAAACTCCCTGGATTCTGCGTGGGTTTCTAAGTTTGAAAAGAAGGGATCGGCTCCAAGTTCTTCTTGGCCCAACTGCACGAGCCATCGATGCATAAGCAGCAGTCTTTATTATATGAGTACTCCTTTTCTTGATTTCTTCATTTGATTGGGAACCAGTACCAAGCCTATTACTCCTTTTCATTTTCAGAAGGGATCTGAGAAATCTACGGGCAAACCTGGTCTTAATAGAACTTGTGCGTGCTGCAGCTATTACATGCTTTGAAGTCATGGCTGTAAGCGAGAGAAAACAGTGAAGTAGATATTAGGGTTTTATAGAGGGAATTTGTAAAAAAAACTATAGGAGTAGGAGTAGTGTAGCGTGAATTGTTCCGTAAATCCTAGTACTAACGAACTAGCTCTGACACAAGTCACTTTATGGGGAGATGAAAGAGGGACAAATGAGCATTTGGGATTGGAAGTTAGGATTTTCTTCTGACACAAAGGGGGCCTCTTGCTTGCTAGGACAAAAGCCAAAATTTCATCTCTGACACACAAACCCAAATCAGCTCTTAATATTCTAAAAAGCCTAAGAAAGAGAAAGAAGGTTTTCTTCCATGGACATGGAGAGCTAATTATGAGATTTTGAGAGAGAGAGAGAGAGAAAGCTAATATGGAAGGAATATTAGATGTGAGTGGAAGGGATTGAATTTGGACGGCTAGAGAGAATTTTAGCCTTTATGTTTTCCGTGCCTAATTTTTTTAATTATTTCTTTTCTTTTTTCTTCTTCTTATTATTATTATTTTACTTTTAACAACAATAAAAGTATTTTTGAAATGACTTTTGTAATGCAGATACTAAATCATTCTTCAATCAAATCTAAAAAATATATAAAATCTATGTTTAAATGTGTTCATAGAAAAAGAAATCGAACCTTGAAGATAATAAAATTAGCAAAACCCATTTTTGACTAATTTAAGCCTTTTTTTCAATTTTATTAATAAGTCTTACATAATAATATAGAAAACAAACCTATTTATATTAAGGAGGCTAAAAAAATTTATCTTTGTCCGTAATAGAAGTATACATGCCTAATGCCATATCCATTAGGGGACGTGGGCTTCACGCAACCTCCATAGCGTGATAAAAGCCATGTAAAGATTATGCTGCCTCTGTTGCTTTATTATTGGAAACGAATTTCAGCCAGGAGCCCCCACTGTCTGAATAGAGAAGAAGAAGAAGAAGAAGACGTGAAATGTTTTTAGGCCTCTTAAGAAATAAGCGTTGGTGCACTTGGTATGAAAACAATACGAAAGAAAGAAAGAAACGAAGCAACCTAGCTAGCTAGCTACTTTGTTTTCAATTTCTTTTGTTGTTTTCTCTTTTCTTTTAAAGAAAAAGGGTAAAAAAAAAAAAAAATCCCTGTCAAGAAGGAATAGGGTTGGAGAAGTGGGTTTGTGGACCCACCAAGTGCCAACCACCACATGATCGCACATGGTTGAGTTACCCACTTGTCTAATGGGAACCTTTTTCTCTTGTCTAATCTTTGATTACTTACTTGTCAATTGATGCTTTTTGTTGTTAATTTGTGTTAGCCTCCTATTCTTCCCCTTTTTATATAACCTCACATTCATAACCTCATCTACTACCCCTACCTCTTCCTCATAAGACATCTATATCCCAACAAAAACTCCCATATTCCCTTTTACTTATGAAAATTTAATTGAAAATGTGTTTTCAGAAAAATACTTGATGACTGAAGATGAGCTGCAATTTATATTAATTGATATTTTCTAATACTGGAAATCCCGATGCTCTATATATTATATTAAGATATATGGTATATCCAATAATATGATTAAAAGTGCATTTTAAAAGTATTTATTAACTAAAAAGTATTTTTTGAAGAGTTTGACACATCTTCCAACCAAAATATGCGAACAATTAACTCACATACATTAGATATTTTTTTGACATGAAACACTGTGCAAAATAATTAATATATATTGTGTCCGATAATACAATTGAAAATACATTTTCAAAATCAATTCATTTTATATTAAGGGTAAATATATTCACATGTCTTGTATAATATTCAAAGACTTTTATCTCGCTTTTTAAAATTTTTAAAATATGCAATATGTCATTCGATTATTTTTTTTCATTATGTAAAAATATTTTTTAATGAAAAGCTCTTTATTAAAATGCAAAAAAAAAAAAGTTACTTAAAGTCACATGATCCGCATATTTTATTTTTAAAATCTTTAGAATTTTTTTATTTTTTTATTTCAATTAGGGACATTTCGATAAATTTTTTTTTATTTGGTTAGAAAAATTGATTAAAAGAATAGATTGGATATTTTAAATATTTTTAAATACAAATAGAATACAATTAAAAACCTAAGGATATATTGAAGATTTTAAATATTATATAAAAACAAACAGATTGTTATAAAATAATAAATGTCCATTTACTTTTCATATCCCCACTACTCACGATCCTTAATGTGATTCAATTCACCATTCAATTTGAGAGATTGAAAGGGTGATGCAATTGATGTACTTTTAATTATTCATAGTCCCTTCCAATTCTCATCTCAATTTTGAGGCCTATAAATAGGCTTGATTGTTCATTTGTTGATGTACAAGTTTGTAGAGAGATTAAGAGAACAACTTGAAGTTTTCTCACTTGTATTCACTTTATAGTGAATTCTTCTTCTTGCCATCCTTCCTTTAAATTCTCATATATCTTTTATTTTTCACAACATGTTATCGGCACGATTGTTCTACCAAACGGCGCAAATCATCTAGCCTATTAAGAGGTATGTACACGATCTATCTTTTATTTTAAATCTAATAGTACATATAATGTATATTTGAAAACTTGAATAATCTAATATATATTCTAATAATCCAATGCATGTTGTTTTGAGAAGTTTGAATATTATTATTATGTTTGTTTTTATTTTCTAACATCATTATTATATCTTGTATTATAGAATTTTTATCATGTCAAACCTCACAAAGCTTGATTTTGTGGCCCTTGACATTTCGGGCAAGAATTATTTATCATGGGTGCTTGATGCTTGAGATACATTTAAATGCTAATGGCCTTGGACAAACAATCATGGATGATAATCAAGAATCCTTGCAAAACCGTGCTAAGGCAATGATCTTCCTTCGTCATCATCTCCATGAAGATTTGAAAACTGAATATTTAACGGTGAAAGATCCACTTGAACTGTGGAAAAATTTAGAGGAAAGATACAACCACCAAAAGACGGTAATTCTTCCAAAAGCTCGTTATGATTGGATGCACTTAAGGTTACAAGATTTTAAAACCGTAAGTGAGTATAATTCTACGATATTTAGAATCGAGTTCCTAACTAAAATTATGTGGAGAAAATATTGCCGATTCCGATATGTTAGAGAAAACATTCTCTACTTTTCATGCCTCGAATATGCTCCTGCAGCGACGATATCGAGAAAAAGGTTTTAAGAAATACTCGAATTGATTTCATGCCTACTTGTGGCTGAACAAAATAACGAGCTACTAATGAAAAATTATGAATCCCGCCTAATTGGATCTACTCCATTCCACGAAGTGAATGTGACATCTTATAATAATTTTGGGCGTGGACGTGGTCGTGGCATTAGTCGTGGTCGGAATAATTATCGTTATAATCGTGGTGGTAATAATAATACACCTCATCCCCGAAGTGGATAAATTATGAAAAGAAACAAGAAAAGAATAAAGGTGGATCAAGTCGGCACTCCGAAAATGAATGTTATAGATGTGGTATGAAGGGACATTGGTCGCGTACACTGTCGTACGCCAAAACACCTAGTTGAGCTTTATCAAGCCTCATTGAAAAAGAAAGAAAATGATATAGAGGTAAATTTTATATATCAAAATAATGTTTGTGACAATGTTCCTCTTGAAGATTTCGGTAACTTAACACATTTAGATGTTCGTTGATTTCTTTGAAGATTACGAAAGAAAAAATTATTAAGTTAATGATAATTGTTTGAAATTTTGTTACCTTTTGATAAATAAAGAAGTTTTATGTTTTATTTTTATTTCATCATATTAGTTTTCATTTTTATTTATTTGTTTGTGTTTGTGTTTATGAAGAATATATTGATATTACCAAGTTTGTAATTGGTTTAAACGTCATGGAGGAGAATCTATGCCTCGTGGATAGTGCAACCACACATACTATACTTAAAAATAAAAGGTATTTCTCCAATTTAACGATGGGCAAGGCTAATGTTAACACTATATCCGGTAGTGTTGATTTAATTAATGGCTCCGGAAGAGCAAATATATTACTACCTGGAGGGACAAATTTGATTATAGATGATGCATTATTCTCTCCTAAGTCCCACGGAAATTTATTAAGTTTTAAAGATATTCGTTTAAATGGATATCATATTGAGACAACAAATATTGAGAATATTGAGTACTTATATATTACAAAAATTAAATCGGGTAGAAAATATGTATTGGAGAAATTACTCGCTTTCTCTTCGGCATTTATTATACAAATATTCAAAGGATTGAAACAAATGCCATAGTAAACCGAAGTTTACTAATCCTTTTATTTTGTGGCATGATCGATTAGGCCATTCTGGATTCATTATGATGCGAAAAATTATTGAAAATTCGTATGGACATCCATTGAAGAACCGAGAAGATTCTTTAATCTAATGATTTTTCATGTTCGCATGTTCTCAAGGCAAACTTATTATTAAGCCTTCACCAAATAAAATTGAGATTGACTCTCCGGCATTTTTAGAACGTATACAAGGTGATATATGTGGACCAATTCATCCACCATGTGGACCATTTAGATATTTTATGGTTTTAATAGATGCATCTACGAGATGGTCACATGTATGTTTATTATCAACTCGAAACACGGTGTTTTCGAGGTTACTTGCTCAAATAATTCGATTACGAGCACAATTTCCAGATTATACCATTAAAACAATTCACCTTGATAATGCTTGGTGAATTTACATCTCAAGCTTTTAATGATTATTGCATGTCTATTGGAATAAGAGTTGAACGACCTATTGCTTATGTTCATACTCAAAATAGTCTAGCGGAATCATTTATCAAAAGCCTCCGATTGATAGCTAGACCATTACTTATGAAAACAAAACTTCCTGTTTATGTTTGGGGACATGCAATTTTACATGCAGCAACACTTATTCGCATCGAGCCTACAAGTTATCGAAATTATCTCCCCTTCGATTGGTTTACGGTCATGAGCCTAATATTTCTC